AACCCCAACCCCCCCCCCTGGCTAGGGGCCTGGGAAGTAACAGTTGAAAACAACATTTCGCTATATGTTTTGAGCTTAATACATAATATTGCATTGCTTAGGCTTTTACATATGAAGAAAAGGTATTGGAGTTGGGTTTTATTGTTTGTAAATCATTGTAAAGCTCTAAAACAAGGCATTAACATGACAAAATGTCACCACCTAAAACAATTTGGTCAATTTAAAGCAAGTTGAAAACAGACCTTTTTGACTTTTTTTTTACCTTGAGAAGGTCATTAAAGGTCAAATGTCAAATCTAAAGTCAGATTTGAATTTCTGAGAACATGTAGATGATTTAAAAAAAAAATTAGTCAATTTGAAGCAAGTTGAAAAAAGACCTTTTTGACCTTTTTTGACCTTGAGAAGGTCATTGAAGGTCAAATGTCAAATCTAAAGTCATATTTGAATTTCTGAGAACATGTAGATGATTTTGAAAAAAAAATTTAGTCAATTTGAAGCAAGATGAAAAAATACCTTTTTGACCTTTTTTGACATTGAGAAGGTCATTGAAGGTCAAATGTCAAATCTAAAGTCAGATTTGAATTTCTGAGAACATGTAGATGATTTTGAAAAAAAAATTTAGTCAATTTGAAGCAAGTTGGAAAAAGACCTTTTTGACCTTTTTTTGACTTTGAGAAGGTCATTGAAGGTCAAATGTCAAATCTAAAGTCAAATCTAAAGTCATATTTGAATTTCTGAGAACATGTAGATGATTTTGAAAAAAAAATTTAGTCAATTTGAAGCAAGATGAAAAAATACCTTTTTGACCTTTTTTGACATTGAGAAGGTCATTGAAGGTCAAATGTCAAATCTAAAGTCAGATTTGAATTTCTGAGAACATGTAGATGATTTTGAAAAAAAAATTTAGTCAATTAGAAGCAAGTTGAAAAAAGACCTTTTTGACCTTTTTTGACTTTGAGAAGGTCATTGAAGGTCAAATGTCAAATCTTAAGTCAAACCTAAAGTCAGATTTGAATTTCTGAGAACACGTAGATGATTTTGAAAAAAAAATTTAGTCAATTTGAAGCAAGTTGAAAACAGACCTTTTTGACCTTTTTGACCTTGAGAAGGTCATTGAAGGTCAAATGTCAAATCTAAAGTCAGATTTGAAGGTCAAATGTCAAATCTAAAGTCAAATCTAAAGTCAGATTTGAATTTCTGAGAACATGTAGATGATTTTGAAAAAAAATTAAGTCAATGTGAAGCAAGTTGAAAAAAGACCTTTTTGACCTTGAGAAGGTCATTGAAGGTCAAATGTCAAATCTAAAGTCAGATTTGAACTTTTGAGAACATGTAGATGATTTAGAAAAAAATTGAAGTCAGTCTAAACAGTATTTGTTAAGTTATAGGAAGTTGTAAGAAATTGTTACAGACGCCAACCGCCGGACGCCAACCGCCGGACGCCAACCGCCGTCGCAAAAAAACGGAGACCATAACAATATGTCACCACTTTTGGTGGTGACATAATAATCATGGAACCTATTTTATGCATTGTAGTTTGTTATAAAGTAAGACTGTTAGATAAATTGATATTTCCTTCAAACATGTTTTGCAAAGAAACTCAGATGAAATTTTGCCATAACCCATAAATTATGGAATACATTTCCATAATTTCCTCTTCTGGTGCCTATTATTGCATCGACTGCCATTCAGAATGTCAGATAAGTTATATAAGTACAACATCTACATCTGTCTGGCCAGTTCTTAGCATTCCGTTTTCAGGAATCCGTAAATCATGATTTTGACCCCTGTGGTAATTGAAACGCTGTTTTAAAACAAATACTTATTTATGTGAAATAAATTATATATCAGTCTGTTGGATATTGCATTCTCTTTCCAATGATACATGATTTAAACATTTGTCTGTAGTATTAATAATGTTGTAGCAAAACAAAAATATGGACGTTTTTTGGTCCACCCTGTAGTATTTAATATCTATCCAGCACATATCTAACTGTTTTGCCAAAGGTTATTTCAAAATTGGCACAAATTGTGATGCAGTCTTATCACTTATTAGATGATATAATTGATGTGATTGTAATAATATTTCAATCTGAACCATTGATCAAATATTTGTAATATTCACTTAAATTGATTGTTTCACATCTAATGCATTCTGATCGTGAAAATGAAGTAAATGTGTATATGTCTCGTAAACTCAATATAGCTCTAATGTACAGTTTTGAGTAATGAGAAATCACATACATAAAAGTTATAATCAAACAGATTTAATGAAATGGTAAATTGTCCTAGTGATCAACTACCAAGGATAAATATTTTCCTGTTTCTATGGAGATAAAATGTATATTTCTTTATAAATTATGTTAACAAACTTTACAAAGCATATGCATACCAATGCATTTCCCCAAAATCAAGCTGATGTTCTTTTTAACAAGTGCTGCCACTTTGAGCCCAGATTACAAATTTACACTGCATGAATGGAAAGATGATACTCTACTAACTTTATTAGGATGTGAAATCAGCCTTTTTTCAAAACAAAATTTGTGTCGATTTGTCGTGAGAAAAATTATAAGATGGGCAGATGCAATGACAATTACCCCTTTATGTGTTTAATGGTATATAAATAATATCTTATCTCTGATTTTCTGTCATTTTTATGATACACTTTCAAAAAATTCACTTTTAATAACTGATATTATCATAAAACATGTCCTCCCTATGATATTGTATTGTATTGCATTGTATTGTATAGTTGTATAAGGCTGTTTTTGAAAATCCTGATTTTTGAAATTATGTTTGGGCAACTTGGTATTTAAGCATTGGGGAAATGCAGTGCTTAGCTGGTATATACCAAGCCTTGCCTAGGCCCTGCATTTGCATTGATGACATCCCAATGTTTCTATTGTAATACATGCAAATACAGCTGTTATAAAAAGCATATACTGAAGATAAAGCCTATTGTTAAATCAATCAGACATTGTTACATATTGATTGATAACATTTTTTATCTAGAGTAAATAAAATGATTTCATGATTAGATGTGTATCATTAGAGAATTTCATGTTAGTCAATATTTTCAGTAATCAACAAAAATATTAACATGTATTTGTAAAGTATTTCAAGCTGCACCAACACGCGGTCCTAACTTCGACAGTTAATTTGAATTTTGACCTACCGGATGTTTGAAAATCAAGGATTACAAGTCTCATACTGCACCGTTTTTCTTCAAACTTGTTCCATTCAAAGCACAACACAAATCCCTTTCTGATGGTACATTATTCTTTTCAACAGAGTCCCTACTTCCAGCGGCATTTTGGTCTCCAGCTGTAAGAAGGCCTTCTAACAGTTGGGGACCAAAACGCTGCTAGAATGAGGGACTTAATAAAGTAATGCACCGACAGAAAGGCAATTTTGTTCTGCTTTTAATGGTATAAGTTTGAAGAAGAACGGTGCAGTATGAGAATCGCAATCCTTGATTTTCAAGCACCTGGTAGGTCAAAAATTCAAATTAACAGTCGAAGTTAGGACCGCGTGACCAATAAAGCCAGATACACTCCTAAGTAAATACTATACAAATATTGAATGATGTTGAGTGCAATACCTGTATATATTTCTGAGGGTGTATTCCACGCAGCCTGAAGGGCAAGTGGAATACATCCCCCAGAAATGTATACAGGTATTGCACGAAACAGAATTCAATATTTGTTTTATTATTTTCCTCATTTACGTGTATACCAAAATCTGAGGAGAAAAGAAGAAATACATGTTACAATTTAACAATATTCATTTATTAGCTTTATAGTATCTCAAAAATTGAAAATTGGATAAATAATGCCACATGTTTTCAGTAGCCTATACATGTAACGTTACATTTGTTGAATACCTGTATTTATTTTTCTAAAAATAAACCTTTCATATCGATAACTTATACATGGATGGAATATCTTGTGGTATTTTAGTCACATGGTACATAACTGACCAATCACATGCTGATTATCACTACAGAGAAATAATAATAAATATTATGTTAATATCAAAATAGGAGATTGAGTAGATAATATAATTGTATGTATGATTTATGGAGGATAATTGTTAAAACTCATTTGCATTTTTATGATCAATACACATTATCAAGGACAAACAATAAAAAAAATAGTAACTTCCATTGAGGGAAATAGTGCAAAATATATTCCCAAGGGAATATCAAGTGTCTATATCTACATTCCTGTGGCTGCAGGCAGAGAGGGGAAACTTTGTATAATTTCCAGATAATATTGCAGTCACAATTTTTTAGTATATACCCAAATATGTGTTTTGTTAAGAGAAACAATGTGAAAGGACCCTTTAAATTTTAGCATACTTCTAAATGCATATTTCATAGCAACTTTCATTTTTGTGCTAATAGCCTCTCAAACAGGCATTCCAAATCCATAATCTCTGCTGGCAGGGAAGATAAAGTGTACTATCGACTAGTCAAATGATATCATATTTTATATATCAATATGCATTTACAATTGCTAACATTTTTTACTAATAAGTTATTACTACTATTAACATTCAATATATTTTACTCTCACCCATCGTCAGGTTGTCATTGTTTCATTTCTTATCTACTGTATGTATCCCAACTAGGATTATTTATGGTATTTTGGCATAAGACGATAATAGCACTGGGATGTGTCAATGTAAACCATTTTCTCAATACTAAAGTTAACTCATTGGTCCGTACATTTTAGTTCAAAGATTGTGATAGTTGCGAAGGATTGTGTTACTGAATCTGACGTATTAATCACTTACAATACACTGGTACAAAGCAAAAGCACCCCCCCCCTCTCTTATATTCTCTAACGCTATACTATTATAAAGAACATAAGAGGGAGGGGTGACTTATTCAGCCTGAAAATAACATGGCAGGAAAAGATCAAAATGACAGAGGCCAAACTACAAAACAAACCAAGGGTTCGTTGTTCTGACTGTTTATTAAAAGTTTTCATACTTACTCAGGGTCACGATTATCACGTAATGTTCGGTCGAGTGCAATTTTATCGCTCGCAATAAGGTTGAATGCCTCTTTATCAAATAATGCGTCAGCTTTCCTCTGTTCTTCTACATTCAATATAACAGAAGATCCTCTTTCCCCAGGTCCATCCTTTGCTTCATTCCTACCATAATATCGGTCGTACCGGTAGCGAGCTTTTAATTTTGAGGTTTCAACTGCATTATCATTTTCAGAGTCTGCTCTTTTACTTCGAGTCCTATTTTTATCGTTCCTAATGTAGAATATAAAAACTATAATACATACAACTGATAATATTAGCCAAAATGGGCGCCTATAGCGCAAACGATAGAAAAATCTCCGGAACATTTTCAAAGTTTATTTTTTCTCCCACGCCATTTTGGGATATCCCCTATTATTTTCATCACGTGACACGGAATTCCAAGTGAGTAGTCCAAGTCATTTAGGTATGGCACTCCATTTGACATTTAGTAAAATCAATAATCGTGAAATTTGTCATATATTATATGTTTTTCTAAATGAATAAAAAATCATTTAAGGATTTAACAGTGCATTGTGGACTGATAATTCCTATAGCAATACTTTTTGCAAGGGCCATCTTGTCAACCATTTACACCGACCATTTGACTTACATAAGCACATGGCTCATCTATTTTTAAATGTTAATAAGGTTTTTTAAATTATATTCTATTCAAAGTCTTGTTATTTTGACGCACCTTTGAGTGCCACTGTTATAAAAGTGACTGTCAAATAAATAATAATTAAATATTCCCTATGATCCACGGATAGTGGGAAGTCCTCCATCTAGGAGGTATAGAAATATAATATAAGTAAAGTAATATATGGAGGACTTCCCATAACCGTGCTATGATCCTATTTATTGATTTATACTCAACTATGAAAATGCTCAGCTTAACATGACCTTGGGTGGGTTGTTTGTTATATAATGCAATGCAGTTATAAGGAATAGAGTGTTCTGATTGGCTGGAATTGGACACACATTGCCTTGCTAAGTGTGAATTCACCTTTTACTTATGCAAGCAAAGGTTTTACTTAATCATGTGCCGCGCCCACTTTCTGATCTGGAGAGTCACAGAACTCAATCTGTTTTACCATGGACATGAAGGAATGTTTTCCATCCAAATATCTCAGCCATGCTTCATCAATAATCATCTCAGAAACAGAACCATACAAAAGCTTATTCACATCTTTATACTAGAGTTCCCCTAATAAGTGATGACTTCACAAATAATCAACAAAATTTAATTTCTGAGATTTTATATCTGTTCCCCAGATGGATATTTCAGGGCGAAACCATTGAACCTATAGAAGATTCCAATCTATTACTTCAACTTCATGGTTACAATGCCCAGTACTTTACCTCTGATTTGAGTTGTTTTGTTCAGTGATTGGTGCCCTCTTTAGCTCAGTGCAGCTCTTAGCATGGTGATAAGGGGGTAGAATATTAGAATTTAGTACAGTTTTCTATCGTCAATTACACTTTGGTTGTACAAAGTGGTGCTACTTAAACAATGTGTTAGTTGATTAAATGATCAAATAAAATTGAGAAAAACATTATGCACATTACACATCTTATTTATCAAGAAATCGGGATGGATTTATTGGGTTGTGTTTCTTTATGCTGACGGTCACAGTCATTGATAAAAGATCAGTCTAACATCATATTTCTGATTATGCCTTGGTAAGGAATCTCCCCCCACGACTTCTCTACTTTGAACTTGGTGAGAAAAAATTGATTTGATATTGTATTTATGCACTGTTTTGGAGAAATTGACCCCCGCATCCTCAAAATTGAACTTGCGTATTGTCAAGGTCACAAATATTCATTAAAACATTTGAAATTATCTCAATCATTTTTATTTTGCCATTCAAGAGCAGATCAGCAATGGGTGGGGTCAAATTATTAACACTTGTGGAAAAAGTTAACTTTGTTATGGTTTGCCCCCCCCCCCTCCACTCCCTGATGTAAAAAATTGAAAATTAGGTTTTCATTACAATGTTTTGAAAATGCAATTATCATCCACACCCCTTACAAAGTTATCTTCATTCTTCCACATCTGTTGATAATTTGACAAATTCATTTGACAACTCATCTCTATTCCTTCTATTTATTTTAATGGTTCGGCACTCACAACTATGCACTGCAATAAATAACCCATAATAGTCATTTAATAAACAAAACATTTATTTTGTCAAAAACAAAAGTTCACAACATATTTGTTCATGGAATGTGTATTTGTTCAATATTCTGGCTCCCATCTTATGTATTCTATATTGAGAGACTGCTGAATTTAATACCAATTTAGTGCATGCCTCACAATGAAACCCCAGGTATTTCCCAATTTAATTTCTAACTCCAACTTTCCAAGTCTATCTGACAATTTCATGTTTATGGCAAAATCCCAGGTGCGTTTCAGGTTGAGGTGTATTTGATTTAAAATCTAAGTTCACATTCAAAATCCCTGGAAACATCCACACAGGCCTGTTCCAAGCTTAAATTCTCAATTTTAGAATCAAGTGAAGATCCTAGTTTCAATTCACCATCTTAGGCTTATTTCACAATCTCAGGCTTATTTCACAATGGTCCAGAGTCTACATCATTCATTTCTACATAGACACATTTCACTTGTGTGTACTGATTTAATGTCACAGCACCATTTTCTCGTCCTAGACCTGATTTCTTATATCCTCCAAAGGGAATCTCTGGGGGGTAAACATTATAGTTGTTAATGTATAGAGACCCTGCTTCCATCTTTGATGCAACTCTATGAGCCTTCTGGAGATCCCTGAAAACATATGTCATTTAAAATTGATGAATCTCTAAAAATTGGCAATGTTTATGCAAAAGATTGTATCAAATGAATACTGGTTAAAGCCTAAAATGTATCTGGAACACATAAAATTATTAACATGCATGTATTTTAATATTAATCAATATGTATGCAAATTTTAAAAAATCTGGAAAATGAAAATAAAATGGACCTACTTTGTAAATACTCCTCCAGCCAAGCCAAATTGTGTATCATTGGCCCTCTGAAGCACCTCTTCTTCAGTGTCAAAGGTCAATACAGCCATGACGGAACCAAATATCTCTTCACGCACAGCTTTCATATTGTCACGGCAATTCACAAGGATGGTTGGTTGTAGGAAATTCCCCTTGGCAAATTGTGAACTTGGAATCACTTTTTCACCACCATACAGTACAGTTGCACCCTAGAATGGAATCATAAATCTGAATCGTCTACACTTATTAGGCACCTAGGTACAATTGCATTTTAAAATTATACCTCATACCCTAAGTGAAAAGAATATATTATGATATGTATCTCATGGGCGTTGCAGGGAGTGCGCTGAATTTTCGGGGTAAACGCCCGTACCCCCTTTTTGGGGATCGCTTCCCATGCAGATATGCAAACCCCAAAAAATCGCACCCCCTTGACAATTGCTGGCTATGACCCTGTATATAATTATGTAAATCTGTTTATCCCACCCTAAGTGCTTTATACGATTGTATAATAGCATTGTATAATTGCAATATAAAACCAACACTCATCGTATACAACTCTTGAGAACGATATACAACTCCTGGATAGCGTATACAACTCCTGGGCAGCGTATACAACTCTTCGACTTGATATACAACTGCTGAACTTAGATTTAACTTTTATTAATTAAAGCTTAGGGTGGGATAATAAGATCATATAATAGTTGATTCTGTATATCGTTATGCTCTCATGAGTATATGATATATTCACTCGTTCCCTTCAGTCACTCGTGAATATATCATATACTCACTTGAGTATAAAGACGATATACGGAATCAACCATTATATGACCTCATACTAGTCTATGCTATTTATCATCCATGGGCATAGGGCTATATTTTGAGTTGGTACGTCCACTTGGGGATGTCCGATCTTGGGGAGTCATTTTTGATTTTTTTCAAATTCATTTGGTATGCACGGACATACTGTGCGTAACAGGCGCTATGCCCATGTCATCCACCATAGTATCTTAATGCCTTGAAATTATACATTACATACCTCATATTTTGCACTTTCTATGTAAGACAATGCTATATCACACTGTTCTTTACTGATCATAGACCCGACTGTAGTATTTTCTAATAATGGGTCGCCTATTTGCATTTTCTTCACACGTGTGACGAGTTTATCCAAGAAAGCATCCAAAATGGACCTCTGTACAAATACTCTAGTACCATTAGAACACACCTGAAAATAATAAAAATATTCTTTGAATCGAATTTCATTTTTAATAAACAGTAAATAGTCCAAACCTAAGAGTCTCATATTTTGTATTTTAACAGATGGGAGTTTTTGCCTCCGCCCCTAAAAAGGTTAAATTTCTATATGCAAGATTTCACAAAGATTTCTTTTTTCAAGGAGGTGGCTAAAAGACACTGGCACTTATATAATCTTCTAGCATCAACTCTAATATTCTAGTTATCTTCCAGACAGATGGGCAAACTGACTGACTGATGGGCGGCTTCACTATATCCCTGCAGGAATTCATTCACCGGGATGATAAGCTTTGACTAAATGAGCAAGGGTATGGCTAATCCTTGTGATCACACCCAATGCACCCCCAGGCCCGTAGCCAGGGGGGGTTCACAGGGTTCGGACGAACCCCCCCTGGCCAAAAAATCTTTCAAAATCATGCAGTTTTTCACAATTTTGAGCCCCCCTTGGCAAATCCTGGCTACGGGCCTGACCCCCCTGGGTAGGGTATGCCTATGTTACTTACCTGTCCTTGATTCATGAAGTTGGCAAGCATTGCCCCTTTAACAGCATTCTCTAGATCACAGTCTTCAAATATAATCAGTGGTGACTTCCCTCCAAGTTCGAGTGTAACATGCTTGATGTCCTGAATAAGATATAGCACTAATTATGCCATAGATGCCATATTCACACAACAGGCAAGAACTTGACACCCTCAGGTGATTTGTGATGATCAAATGGCTAAAGCAAAACAATCATGGCCAATAAGAACAATAGACCATCTTCCTTTTAACAAAGCCTGAATACACATTTGACCATGCTATCTCGACTTGGATGAGCTCATTCATAAATTTTGTTTGCCCCATGCACCATCTATACTACATGTGTACAGTTAATTTTATATTTCTCTCAAATACAGAGCATAGCTTATTTGCATTCAAGTTGGCAATTAAAAGTTCAATAAAAAAGAAGTGATATTTTCTTAGAACAAGTAAATTGGTGAACACTCATTTTCTGCCCTTAGAATTTCATTTTATGAAATTTAAAAAAATAATTAAAGTTACCATGAATTTCAATATCTAAATACTTTTTTTTACCTTTGCACAGGCTTCCATGACCTTTGACCCTGTAGGAACACTTCCAGTGAAGGTCATCTTCTCTATGTGTTGATGGCTGCTTAGCAATGCACCTGTCTCTGCCATACCCTGGGATACAAAAATCGAGTTGTTGGATCCAATATCAGTCAAAGTCCCATGTCAGATCCCATATCAGAAATATTATGGAATAGATAGGTTATTTGATGGCCAGGGAAAATATCATATGGAAACTATATCATCCGAGGCCAATAGCATATCTCTGATGGGAATAAAATTCATATTCCATCCTTCCCATTAAATAATATATATATGTATATACTTATATAACAATTAAGAGCATTTAACATACCTGTATTATATTTAGGCATCCATCAGGGAGCCCAGCTTGTGAGTACATTTCAGCTAGCATAACAGCTGTCAGAGGAGTGAGAGGGGATGGCTTGAAGACCATAGTGTTCCCAACCACTAGGGCAGGGGCTGTCTTCCAGCTGGCCATCTGAAAGGGGTAGTTCCATGCTCCTATACCCCCAACAACACCCAGAGGTTCTCTTCGCGTATATGCGAAGTTACCATTGGGAAGTAAAATATGTTCTCCTAAAAAGATGATTTTTAAATGTTAAAATGTGTCAAACAACATGAAATCAAGGAAGTTTGTTGTTAAGCAATTATAGAAATAATGTAAGCAAATGTCTCAAAGGCAAAAGGAAAGGACCAAAATAAATGTATATGTCTTGAATGTTTATTGAAAGTTATGTACACCCGATTCAGAACTTCATCTTCAAGATAGATGTTATTGTTACTCTCTGATGGTCAAACATGTCAAGAATACATAGAGATTATCCTATATGAGGTTCAGGATATTGGGATTATCCCGAGGCCAATATAATATATTTGCCCGAGGGCCGCAGGTCCCGAGGGAAAATATATTATATTGGCCAAGGGATAATCCCAATATCCTGAACCGACTATAGGATAATATGTTTATCCCATACCAATCTTGGTCATCTGGTTCACATTGTTCAATCGTGGAAATATTTTACAATATTCATGTCCAGTTTTGTTTTCTTGGCCGTGGGCGGGTTTTCCTGTTCCCTCAAATATTCCCACATTTATTTTCTCGAATTTTTGATTGATTAAGTGGATGCTCCTTCCCTTTTTTCAACCATCAAACAGATCCCGATTGTCTGTGTTTTCTCAATTGTCGTGTACAGTCATTACGCGAACGTTACAAATTATGAACAAATATGCGAGCGGCGATTATGACGTAGCGGGCAGATATACTATATCTGCCCGCTCAGAGCGGGACGTATAGCTATCTCTGCCCGCTGTTGAAAATATAAGTTTTTACAAACCGGCTTTATGTACCTGTAACACGTCCAAGTATGGGATAAATAGAGATTATCCTATATGAGGTTCAGGATATTGGGATTATCCCGAGGCCAATATAATATATCTGCCCGAGGGCCGTAGGTCCCGAGGGTAGATATATTATATTGGCCAAGGGATAATCCAAATATCCTGAACCGACTATAGGATGATCTGTTTATCCCATACCAATCACATTGTTCAATTTGCCAAAGTTCAGAAACTTTGCAATCAACCGTGGAATATTCTTAAAATATTCATGTCTAGTTTTGTATTCCCGTTTCTTTCCTATTCAAATCTTTGATTATTAACGCCGGTACACTGCTCCTCCCCTTCTTTAAAGCATCAAACAGGTCGAGATTGTCTGCGTTTTTCTCCATTGTCGTTTACAGTATGCGAACGTTACAAAAAAGAACCAATACGGGAACAGCGATTATGACGTAGCGGGCAGATATAGTATATCTGCCCGCTCGGAGCGGGACGTAAAGCTATATCTGCCCGCTGATGAAAATATAAGTTTTTACAAACCGGCTTTATGTACCCGTAACACGTCCAAGTATGGGATAAATAAATATACGAATGGTCTTGATTTCATATCATGTTTCCACAAAACCTTAATTTCATTGCAGGGACCTGCACGGCAAAATTTTCACCATAAAACTTAAGAGTTGTTTACTGATAATCACTCTATGTTCCATTAGACTTTTTATATAAAATTGATCAAAACATGAAAAGATTTTCAATCAAGCCTAAGAAGGTACTTCTTACCCTGCAAAGAGGGTGCTATTCCCCCATAATACTCCATTGTACCAGCACAGCCATCTATATCAAGTCTGGCTTCCCATATAGGCTTTCCTGTGTCAAGCACCTCAGTCCTAGCCAGGTCTTCTAAGTTGCTCTACATAACAAATATTTATACAGGCCTACACAAATCGACTCCAAGAAATGGGAAATTGGATAATTGATTCATGTATTAAAAGATTATAGGGCTGCCTCAAGGTAAAGACAGTAAGGCAATCAAATATATGTTTTCGAATTCTCTTTCAAAATATTCATTTAAAGGTCCCATATAAAGTTCAAAACATATTTTCAAACTTTGCATAGGGCCTTTAAAAACTGTAAATTGGGTTATAATTATTAATTTGGAGCTATTAATTTGGCATTTTCAAATTCAAATTCTAAAATGTTGTTACTCTCTGATGATCACTATGTATAAAGATAATAAATATCTTCTTACTCTGACTATTTCAGCAGCTTTGAGGAGTACTTTGCCTCTCTCCATATTAGATCTCTGAGACCATTCCTTGTAGGCTTCCTTGGCACTGTTGACTGCAGCATCTACATCTGATCTCCCAGCACTCTGGACTTGACATAGCACCTCACCTAAAATATTGCAAAATAAATTAAAGTTAAAATTATATTTGTTTTTGTGGAACTTTTGTGAATTGTTCTGTTGATTCAAATGTTGTGTTCACTCTAACACACATAGCACTCTTTCAAATATGACATGTAATAAAACTACTCACACTCAAAATATTACCAAATACAGACATAACCGTTATATTTGTTTTTCTTTGAACTCATGTGACTTGCTCTTTTTGTTCAAATTAACTGATGGGTCATTTGAATTATCTGTTCCACTGGTTTTTATCATTGTTGTACCATGTACTATTGTTGCATGTTTATTTTATTGATTGATACCATTTAGGGTGCTTTTGTGCTATCCAAATGCATTTCTGCACTTCAACTGCACTATGTGCTCTGCATCTTTCTGAACCATACTGTAACTTTACAACTTACCAGTTGCTGGGTAGAGAACATCAAACTTCTGGCTTGTGTCATCACTAGTGGCATCGACTCTCTTACCATCCAAGTAGTGGAGTGACTCTTTAACCAAATTAGGAGCTGTAGTAAGCATACGCAGGACCTGTATCTGGCCAGTACCATTGCGGCTCATACATTGCCAAAGTTTTACTGTGCCCCTTAGCATTCTGAGACAAACCTATAAAAGTTATTATATGTTGACTCTGGGTATATCTCATTGGTCATCATACTTTGAGGCAAATTACTAGTATACCAAAGGGCCTTTCAGTACAATGATTCAGGAGGATGTTTCTCGAAAGTTTCGTTATTAACGAATCGTTAATTCAATTGTTAATAACGATTTTTCCGTTTCTCGAAAGTTAACGCTTCATGATGATGTCATGATTTTTTTTATGATTTATGCGTTATCCATAATTGATTTTACGAGTACGGATGAGAGTCTCATTCCATTAACGATGTGGTGTCCAAAGAAATGGATCCATGATTCGCTATTAACGATACGTTAATAATGATAAGCTTTGAGAAACGGCCTCCTGCATTACTAAAGGCTAAAAGAGAATGGGGAACAAGATTCAGTACATTACAATAGATAATGTTTGGGAAATTACAATAGACAAGTTATATCAAGATAATAATTCTAAATGTAAAAGCATCAGTTACTAAAAACAAATTTACTTTTAGACTAGACAAGTGTGAAGGCAGGGTTGATAGGGTCTCATGGTGGCTTACCCTGTAGCAATTGAATATTTCTAAATCTATCTATAAATTCTAGATTTCTAGAATTCTAAATTTTCTGATTTTCATCCTCCGATCACAGGGCTTCAAAATCCAGAATATATTCTTTCTTTTTACCCCCTGCGATAAGCAGTTACCATTTCCCCGATTAAGAACTCGCAATCTTATTGGCTGTCGCAACACTGCTGCGACAGATATCATGTATATTAATCATTGCGCATAATTAGATCACGTGATTCAGTTTAAACGGGCGGTTCCAAATTGGTTATAGCAGGGGGAAGAAGGAGGTATGGATTCTGTACACCTGCTTAGGAGGATGATGATTTTATGCAACATATATGTCCAGATCAACCCCCCTCAAAATAAAATAAAATGTTATAATATGTTTGATTTTGTCATGCACAATAATAAATACAACTTACCTTTGACCCCTCAGCAAAATGTTATTTTCCACTATTTTGTTTGTATTTGTGATAATAGCTTTAGGATTTGTATAGCTGGCAAATACAATGATTTGTTAAATAATTATGACATCTTATAGTCGGAGCTACATGTGCATTTTTCATGCAGTATTACATTCAACATGTAAGAAACCATAAAGTGCAGATAGATGTTAAATGTAAACAGTAGTCTAGATAGTAAAATCATAATACACTGTACTTATTAATTAGGCTAGGATATTTAAATTTCACATTTAGCATTCTACCTTTTCTAATAATAAATATCATAGGCCCCGGGAACATGTATAAAATAGCGAGTCGATATCTGTATTATTAGAAATAGTAATACAGATGTCGACTCGCTATTTAATACTTGTTCCCGGGGCCTATGATAAATATGCTTACATTTTTTGTCAGAATAGAGTTATATAAGTTTAATAAGATCGTACATTTCTAAAATACTGTATAATGTGTAAAGAACATATTTATCTATTTATGTCCGTGACATGTCGAACATTTATATAAGTTACCTTTGCCTTCTATAGTCCAAGTCTAGAATATTATCCCCACATATAAAATGATACCCTTGCATAATTTCAATATTCTTAAAATAAAGATTTGAATTTGATACAGTTTATTTGCATATATAATGAATTAACGGTGACCATATGGATCTCCTGCTAGCAATTTCTCTCTTTTTTTCACTTTTGAAATAAAGATGATTACATTTGAAAGATGAAACATTTGAAAGGTCTAATTGCAGACAAACAAATAAACCAAAACCTTATCTTAGTATTTGTTTAAACTTTGCTTACTTCAGTTATATATTGATAACACAAAGCTAAGGTAGGTCAAGTCAAATGACTTTTTGATATGTTTGAGAAAAAACATAGCCAGATTATTCATTCTGCTGGGCCCTCCTTAAAAGCTGACATATCTGCATATAAGCTATTGTCAAAAACATTCACAATTTTAAATAAAAATAGCAAAATTTCAATTTTTAATTTTGAAGAAACAAATTTAGCTCTTTCCTATCCAGAATCATGGAAATACGTTTGGATTCAGTCATCCATAAAAATTGAAAATAGAAACCCAAAATTGTCATGATTGTATCATAACAGGATTTGAAGTGAAAACCTGTAATTCACTTCATGTTGTCATTTAGGCCTTGAAATGTCAAACTTTATGTTTTTATCAATAAGAAATTTCAAAAAATTAACATGAATTTTGATAAACTTGAATTTTAAACATATGGTATATATAAAAGCAGATAAAGATTTGATTCATACATTTTCTACTCTGAGGCCTAAGAATGTCGTGTTAAAATATTTTAAAACATGTTTCTTAAATATACCCATCATTCTAGGCTATTCTACTAACTTTTCTTTTTGCTTTTTATGAACATAAGACAATACATATACTAGGGGACTCAAGTTTTAACCATATACACTCGCTATAATATGTTTTGAGTGTGAGCTTACACTTTTCTATATGTTTATTTTAAGGATCGGTGACATGTCAAACAAAAAACTAGTCTGGGGTGAGTTTCGCTTTGTTTGACAAGTCACGTTAGCCTTTTTAGTTTATTTGAAGTACCTGTACTGATCTTGAATTTCGTTAACAGTAAAGTATAGAAATCATACTTTAAAAATCATTTTGAACCAAAAGTGGATTTAAATAGCCATGGTTGAAAATGTTTTTAGTTTCTGGTGATTCATAAAGAACATATAGTTGCAATCTGAGCATAAAACGTGTCATGTTTTTACTTTTGAACCACAAGTTTATTCTGAATTTGCACTGTGGAATTGCAATGTTGAATTCAAAGAATTCAGTTTCAGTACTGATTTAGTGTAAGCTAGTATGATGCACCATATCAAATTTGAACCCCCCCCCCCCTCTTCTCTGCACTAAATCATCAATGGTGTTTCATCAGTGACTTGGATGAACAGCTCAGAGTCCAGACCAGCACATGCAGTATATTGACTTGATGTTCAAAAATGTAGTTATTACATTACAGACAATTCCTTCTACCCCCCCCCCCAAAAAAAATGTATTTGAACTTTAATTGATTTTAAATGAAAAGTCCCTTCATTTTGAAAATTGAATGTATTCCAAAGGTATCCTTGCATTAATGCAAGCAGACATGGCATGCGTAAGCCAAAAGAAAATCACTTACTATAAAGCCAGAACAATACAAGGAATAACTTAACATTTTATAGCAGTTGTCTATATTTTACATGATATATATCTTTAATTACAATTAATATACAGTGTACATTGTACATAACATTTCAATTATAGCTTTGCTTTGTTTTCACTTCTCAAACACAAAGTAATACACAATACAGAAGTCCATGGAAATCAAATTAATGAAATATTGCTTTATAGTAAAATGTGCTCATCCTTACACCCAGGGTGAGAAAAATGCAACCCTTAGAATTGACTCTCAATGATAATAGAATATTCATGAATGTTCATGTTAATATAAAGCGTTAAATGAAGGATGTATCTTAGTCTAATCTGTGTATCACCCTAGCATAAAATAATAAAATGAATTAACATGTACTTTTTCGAGAACCCCCATGGTATTAAAAACCATGATAATACATGTATATCCACTGACTCCCATATTTGAGTTTTTGTACACACAGTACCAAACATTCTTTGTTCAGACAAATCATGATCATGTGTCATTGTTGTAAAAATAAAACTTGCAGTTTCATTAATATTGATAATTTTCACTGTTTTTACTTTTCCACTTTTCCAACCTTATTACCTATTATCAAACATCCTCCGAATGCAGGGTTCCAGACATCATCCACTAAGTTCCTTCCTTCTTGGTAGTAGGATGTTCAAATATGTTCAAAATATACACATCTTTCTCTAAATCTCAGTATGAAACACAGCCCAAGGATGTTCATTTAATCATTTAAAATGTATATGGACCAGCCACCATATGGGTGAGACAAATAGTCAAATACTGTAGACCTGTTGCAAATAGGTTTGAGGTCCAATTAGAATGACAAAATTGATATTTATTTATATCTATTAAGCCTCGACATTTTATTAAGTCTGGTGCTGAGTTACATTTCCCCATATTGATATTGAACAGGGTTAGTTTGCTGAATATTTGGCATGGGCCATAATGGCCAAATTTGCTGTTATTGCCCATGTTTACTTGGGTCTGTACATGAGACTGAACATTTTCACACTGTCATATATTCTATGTAATAAGAACATTTCTAGAAAACTTGCAATATTCTACAAGTTTTCAAGCCTGCAACAGCCAGTAATACATGTACTACTAAGTATATACAGTGAAACCTGTATATCCGAACATCTCTCTGACATGTCTGTTCAGAATCAATGTGAAAACTTTTTTCTCAGTTCCAAATTTGTTTTCATCCATTGACTTATATGTTTATAAAACCTTGAATTGTGAACACTTGCTTATATTGCTACCTTTGGCTGGCCTCAGAGGTGTTTGGATTAGACAGGTTTTACTGTACTTTTCTAAAAATAAAATTCATATTTAACATTTTAAGAGAGGACATTTTCCGTTTACCCCTGATCTCCCTAGTCTTGCATCAAGCCCTTATGTACACCCTCATAACACAACTTCTACATAAACTGGTAGATCAGAGATTTGATGTAAAACCCTGTTTACACTGACTGGTCTTTTTTGATCCCCTGTGTATTACCAATGGGAGAAAAGATCAGACTTTGCAGGACTTTTGCCGGACTTGGTCGGTCTTTTTAAAAAATCTGATGGAATCCTGTTGAGACCTGAAGTCCAATGGAGACTGCTACAAAAAGACCGCTGGTCTATTTGTGGAATGAGCAGTTTCATTCTTTCACGGATGTCATCCGTCTTTTAATGTTAAATATGATCACGTGATACTGGTAACTGAGGCTTTCATACATGATGTCACACTGTCAGAGGGGATTTCATCGGACTCGACAGGACTCCGCCGGTCTCAACAGGACTCCGCCGGTCTCAGCAGGACTCCATCGGATTCCACAGGGCTCAGGAGGACACATTGAGCTATCGTGAAAATAGACTTTCGGTCTTCACCTCGAGGACTTAAAAAGTCCAGTGAAAAATACCTGTCAGTGTAAACTGGGCCTAAGACTACCTCCCCTCATCATCTACTTTCCTATCCTTGGAGAGTTAGAAAGTGTGTATGACAGTAGGGAGGCACAACATATAGTGACGCACAAATACTTTACGACACAGGTTCGTAACCAGGAGGACATCTTCACTTTGGACCTAAAAGCTGGCCTTATTTCCAAAATAGGGCTCAGTTGTAAGAAAGAATTATATTCTTAAATGATGACAAAATGTTACCACCTAATTAGTTATTGAAAACCGTTACAGGTGCCAAACTCTAAATGCCGATCACTGAATGCCAACCACCAAATGCTGAACACTATCCACACTTCTGGTGGTTATGTAAAAAGTGCTCTAATTTCCCTTTGCCCTTTTAAGTGAACCCCTCCTCTAGGTTAACTGTGGGCACCAGCCTGCTACGTACAAGTATTTATGTCCATGTTATATGAACAATACTTCTGAGCTTGCTAACAGGTTGAAACTAACTGGTAAATCTGATTGCAAACTCATTCACAAAATTACTCTGAAGTATAATTTCGACCAGAAATATTAATCAAACATTGCATTCTAATAAGACTGCGTGGTTTAATAAATGATATACATTATTTAATTAATACCCTGGCCTTCTGTGCGCTTTTTGATTATCGACTCACTATATAACACTTGGCTTTGCTAATTCTATATATATATACACGTATCTACACTTACTAAATTAAACCAACTTCTCATAACATATTTAATGAGAATTTTATTTTGACATTTCCAAATTGTTAAGCATTGTTAGGTATCAAATGAACACTTGATTTGTATAATTACGTACTGCATGTAAGAACTAAATACAGTAATGTACAGTAGTTACAACTCAAACAATTATAAATTTTGCTCAAAGTACTTTCCAAATATGCATTTCCAACTCAAAAATATATTTTCAAATAGTCTTGCTCAAAGTTATTTCCAAATATATAGCTATATCTCTAGTGCACCAATGCATCATCATCATTAATAGTAATATTAATAGTCATGTAGTTTTTTACATGTAAATGTCTTTTTTCCTTCCTTTATAATTGTTATAATTTTTGTTCATGTACTTGACCCCAAGGGGTGTGAATGTACTTAAAGAATAAATAAATATATGTCCAATTCAAAAATATATTTTCAAATAGTCTTGCTCAAAGCAGTTTCCAAATATGCATGTCCAACTCAAAAATATATTTTCAAACAGTTTTGCTCAAAGTAGTTTCCAAATATGCATGTCCAACTCAAAAATATATTTTCAAATAGTTTTGCTCAAAGTAGTTTCCAAATATTCATGTCTAACTCAAAAATATATCTTCAAATCGTTTATAAAATTGATCACGTTAAAGATGAGATTTTCAACCAATTTGGCGCAATCAAGGTAAATCAAAATTGATCAAAAACATGAATCAATCACAACGGATATAGCACATATCCCTCTCCCTCACTACTTTTAAACTTTGATAAGTTCGGAATTTAGAAATTTCAAATACATCCCATGTATTGTCGCCCTTCCCCTTCCTATCATTTCATGTTGAGATGAAGCAGTCTGAGTATACACTATACTTCCTATTTCAAATCAATCCCCTGTATTGTCCCCCTTCCCCTTCCTATCATTTCATGTTGAGATGAAGCAGTCTGAGTATAAACTATACTTCCTATTTCCAATCAATCCCCTGTATTGTCCCCCTTCCCCTTCCTATCATTTCATGTTGAGATGAAGCAGTCTGAGTATACACTATACTTCCTATTTCCAATCAATCCCCTGTATTGTCCCCCTTCCCCTTCCTATCATTTCATGTTGAGATGAAGCAGTCTGAGTATACACACTATACTTCCTATTTCCAATCAATCCCCTGTATTGCCCCCCTTCCACTTCCTATCATTTCATGTTGAGATGAAGCAGTCTGAGTATATATACACACTAATCATCCTGCAGTTCCATATCATAATGGCACAAGTAAAGCTGCCTTTTGGGCCAGTTAGTTCTTTTATTTGCATAGGCCCAGTAGTAGTATTATAGAGACTATAGTAAAAGTCTTCTTCCATATTTTTGTACTAAACTACATGCTCTACCTGGGGCCTAAGGTTTAAATGCAATTTTTGTTTTCAAGTAGGTAGTGAAGCATGTAGCTAGAACAGGCATCTTCAATACAGTAAAACCTGTGTATATTGAACATTTTTTTGCTGAGTCAACATGTTCAGTGTTGGTAGGTGTTCACTACAGAGATGTAACAGTAGTCAGTAGAGTATTGGAGGAAGGGCGCTACTAGAGTCACTAGAGAGAGGTGTCCACTAAGACAGGTTTTACTGTATTTCCTATTGCAAATGGTATTTCCTCTTGCAAATTCATCAATAAATAGTCTTGATGGATTAATAGTGACATTACCACGATGGAGCACCACACCACTATGCAAATATAGTTGTCCTGAAGAATCTGAATGAAACATGTCAAGTAACCCTTAACATGTCACAGTTTATCAGAATATCAATACATCTTGAGCTTTTTATATGTCATGACACGAGATGCTGATCATCATGTGATGTCCTTCAAAAGATTAAGAATGATATTCACCAGCAAGGCAAAGAACATTCTTATTAACACATGTCTGAGTGGACAAACAGCCTTGCAGCCAAACACATTGACATTGCAAGGGCAAACTGACGTCATTGGCCTTAGACTTATTACATAGAAATTGACCTTACCAGTGCCAATCTATAATATCTCACTAAAATAACTAGTTGCTCACTGCATCTTTGCAAGGTTAATAACTGAATAACGACCCTGAGTTTTTGGGTTTTCAATAAATCCAGTATTTAGCTTATCAATCAGGTCCAATTTTAATCCTACCCTATTTCCACTGTTTTTTTTCACTTGTCTGTAATTACCAAGGAAAATCAGTGTGTGTTTTATGCACAAAGAAGATATCTATCTAAGGTAGAAATATTTTATATTATAAAAGCAATCAATATCAATGAGCTGTATCTCCTTTTCATAAAGGGAAATAAAGATATACATACAATGGAACCCATAACTATTTTAAGGACAATTATATGTGACGTAGGTTCATCTAACAATGTAATGAAAGCCCACCAATGTCATTTATTAGAATGCAATTTATAAAAGAGATATCTCACAGGATTTTTTCTCAGATGGGTGCAAAATTCTCTTTTTCACAATTCAGACCAAAATTGGCCAAAATATGACTATTTTTCATGATTTTTCATTTTCAAGTGGGTGCAAATAAATTTTCAGGTGGGTGCAAGCTTATTTTCAAAATCTCAGGTGTTTGCTGCACCCACTTGCTTTAATGCTGGGGAGATCACTGTATCTAGCTGGCTGTTATTACATAAACATTTTCTCTGCAAGGTTGAGCATATATTTCTTCATATATGTCGGGGAAGCTGTCAAAACACTAATTTCATTTAACAATATATTCAAAAACTAAATCTCTACTACTAATTACTGTTCTTCCAATGAACTACATGTAGTTTTGTGATATTTAGTCCTTATGTATGGTAGACAATTCTTATGGGTCAAAGGCATCTCTTAAAGTGACATTGAATTCAAGTGACATTGAACAATTGATGGCTTTCTTTGCTTAAACCATCATCTGAACTTAATTAGTCCAGAAAGAAGGAACAAAGTGGATGGTTTTTGGACCCAAGCTAACTGAGGATGAACTCATACATCTTTTCCCGAAACATTTGCATTAAACCTTTGTACAGGTGTAAAAACCAAATATGTACGAGTCTGGTTTAACTAAGTTAAAATATATTTGGATCCATTTCAATGTTGAGTGTTGATTTGATTTGAAAACTATATTTACCGTACTGGTCTTCCTAGAGGCCCAGTAGTGTTCATTGCTTATGGAGTAGCATATCAATTTGGAGAATAAGTTACATTTTAGAGTTTAAATCTTGAATAACTCTTGATTAAGAAGTGTATTGTAGGATTTTGGGATGGTATATTCAGCGCTTGCATTAGGTTAGAAAATTTGTGAGTCCCAAGGACGCAATTTTTTTTAAAAGTGTGTCCTTTGAAAAAAAAGTGTGTCCCCTATTTCTAGCCTGTTTTGAGGTATAACTTTATTTTAAAAGCATTTTTTACCAAAACACCTTTCAGTTTTTGATTTCTTGCCGCGAATTTAAAACGGAAGTAAACGTTAAGTACGGACTGAATAAATGCATGTTCGTTCATTCGACAATGAATACATTTTATTTCATGAATAAACAAAGTCGAAAAAATTCGAGAGAATCATGATTATTTGTAAATATTCAACATGGAGCCTTATTTACGATTCAAATAAAGGTGAGAGATCATAATTATTTGTTTTTGTTAGGTATCGTTGTAAACACATTGCAGATTGTAGTATTGACCTAAAAAAAATTTGCGTCCAAAAAACGGAAATATTTTCAATTTTTGCGTCCTCCAGATTATTTTTGAGTCAATAACATGTACGGGACGCCGTTAATGCAAGCCCTGTATATTGGTAAAAAAAATTCCCTCAATAGATAACTAAAGTTTTGCCTGGTCATCACAAGTTCGCATATTTCTCCAAATCAACTAACTACACATTTAATCAGTGATAGTAGCCTACAGTATATCTAACAGAAAATGAAATATGATCCATTTACTGATACATGTACTGTACTTCTATTTAATTTGACTCTACTTATTTTGGCAGATTTGCTGTTTTGAACATTTGGCAGCTACTTAATTTGGCCAGTAGACTTGCAATATCACAATGTACCAAAGGTAATAATTTACATGGTACTAAAATTATCAGGGACTTTGTTGGCTACTTAATTTGGCAGACTTTAACAATTTGACAGGTCCGCCAAATCAAAATGGCCGCCAAATTAAGTAGAAGTACAGTAGAAACATATAACAGGTGTAAATTATGATAATATGGAACTTATTTTACAATCAAATAATATAAAAGAAGCAATCATGGACCATAATATGCAGTTTGTGCCTTCACAAATGAAAGCTTGAAAAGCAATATCAAAGCATTAAGTAAAGCCAGCTAACCAGTCTTCCAAGAAAGTCATATGGTACAAATACATGTACATGTATAATACATGTACATAATTGTACATAAATCTATCGTACATCATATTGCAACATGTAAGGCCATTTGAAGTCAGTCACTTATTCAAAGTTAATTAGAACAATTCAGGATACTGTAATTCTAAACTGGCCCTTTTTGTCTTATAAAAACTTGGATGTTTTTCCAAATTCTCATACTAATAAATTCAATGTCAAGACGGCTTACAAGAATTGAACGAAAATTTCTTTACACTAATTTTGCTTTTAGGCTTCTTTTTGGGTGTGTGACGTTTTTCTTCAACTTGAACTTCCCGTGGCTCTAGAGGAATATCTTCGACATAGTTATCATCATATTCCTCATCTTCATATTCATCCCCTCTGTAGAGGTCATCTATATAAGGCATCACAGTCATTGAATGTAGAGGGTCATCCATATCTGGTAAAGATGGAGGTTTGATAAACTCTAAGGTTCGGGGATGCTTCTTCCTAAACCAGTCATGAAGTTTAATCTGCTGTATAGTAAATCGTTTCGAAGGTTCATATTGTAACATTCCCGTAAGTAGGTCATCAAGATGCTTGCTGACACCTTCTGGTATACTATACTTTCCCTTACCTATATTCTCATAAAGCCTGAAGATGTTATCACCCTCAAATGGATACTTCCCTGTCGTAATGTTGTACAGTGTTACTCCGCTTGCCCAGACATCAACTTTGAAGCCATAGAAACTATCAAGTCCATTAGCGATCTCCGGTGGCTGGAAGGCAGGTGAACCTTGACTTGTGACAATTTCATCATCTTTGGCAAAGGAGTCTAATGTTTCAGCGACTCCAAGATCAGAAATTTTCAAGACCTGATCTAAGGTAACAAGCAAATTGCCTGGTTTTATGTCCTTATGGATGATGCCCTGACTGTGGAGATACTCAAGACCAACAATAAGCTGTGTGAAGTATTTATGAGCCTGCCAAATCGGCAGTTTCTTATCCGGGGTGCTCTCTAGCATCTCTTGCAGACCCGCTACACAAAATTCCATCACCATGTACATTTTCTGTTTTTCCTCATTGTACAGTACATCAAGCAGCTCAATAACATTTCTGTGATGGAGACGTTTCAACATGCTGATTTCGCTTTTCACATTTTGCTCTCCATTTGGAATCTTTCGAAGTTTTTTCTTCTTTAATATCTTAACAGCACGTCGACAAAGTGTTTCCGAGTCAATAGCCTCCTTGACTTTACCATAGCTTCCTTCACCAAGCATATCACCCATTAGGTATTTTCCAACCATCTTAGCTGGTTTGCGCCTAGGTGTGTATATGATCTGGGCTGAATCAACACGAGTGAATATATTATCCAAAGGCTCATCATCGTTCAGAAAGTCAATCTGATGTATATCTTCACAAGCTGGGTGATAATATCCTTCCACGCCCATCATAGCCATAGCACCAGCATTTCCATCAGCCATCATTGCACTTTTATAGCTCAACAAATGCACTTTTGAGACTTGTGTTATTTTCTTGAGTAGCACTGGTATTGAACCTATCAATCTATCTCTTTCTGGACAAATAGGTTTATGATGGCTCAATGTTGCTGTTTATCCCATTTTGAAATATTGATTGAATCCAGTTTCTTTCTAAAATAGATAAAATATGGTAGTATTAATGTATTTATCTTAACTAACTAGACTACAGGCAGTATAATCTTTAGTAATATACAATGAATGTTATATAAACATGGAAGTAATTATATACATACATGTAGGTATACTGTACATGACAAAACCAAACTATCTAACTACATGTATTGTCAATGAACATATTCATAGTTAAAACTACACGAGTTCAAAAATATAACTGTAACTTCTTCGATCTGTGCACATTTACAATTAGAATAAGAGATCTTAATTCATTCTTCTCTACAAACATACCATGGGCGTAGCCAGGGGGGGGTGCGATGGGTGCGATCGCACCCCCCCCATAACCTTTGAAAATATGACCATTGGATAGAGGTAGAAAAGAGCTTTAAAATGCTTTTTATTTGAAGCTTCTAGCTCAAATTTGAAGGAAGTTGCATCAATTTTTGTAAAATTCAAAAGAAATCTTAATTTTTTGTGTTGCTTATGGCAAAATCGCACCCCCCCCCTGACCGAAAACTGAAAATTTTTCAGCGATCGCACCCCTCCTGACTGAAAGCTGGCTACGCCCCTGCATACTACATAGTTTTACATGATTATGAAGTGAAGCTTGAGAAGTTATTTCTTATACTTCAATGATGTTGCTAGAAAAAGTCAAATAGAGGCAAGGGAATTAACGGAGAGACTGAAAAAGATTAAGAAATCTTGACTCTGGCAAATTTAGTTTTAATCCATAAGTTTGTTGTTTTGTGCATTCAGGTCACCTTTTCACTTAAGCCTCCAATGAACAGTACTTACAAAGTGAATCAGTTTTTCCATTTATCATGAAAACATTTTTGAATAAACTTTCAAAGAAGACCTGTATAAGAACTTTATATGCTTAAACCAAAATTAAAGTTTTCAATCCATCTCTTCAGGATAATCTCATTAATGCATCTGCATTAATGCAACATCATTTAATGTCTGTGCCAGTGAGACCTCCACACAGGAAACGATGGGGATTTTGACAAAATGAAAATTAGACTGTCAAATTCCTTACTCTTGGAGCAGCAACTGAGTCAAATTTCTCATCCTGGGAGCAATAATACATGTAACTGGTCAACTATAGTCAAATTTCTGATTAACAGGAAAATGTATTTCAAACATCTGTATTCTCGTGCCAAAGTCCTAGGTCAAAATTTTACCTCTTGGGACAATACTTTGTGTCAAATTCCAGAATCATCCCCGATGGGAGGTCTAATGCAAGCCTATGAATGATGCAATAAAGGTGAGGAATGACATGTTGTCCATGTAGATAATTGCGGCCACTTACCCCGAGACATGTAGCTATACGGAAATTATCTAAATGGCCAACATGCACGCGTCTCTGTCCTCTTTGGAACAGAGCTTAAATTTAGGCTGGTATGTCAACAGATGCGTAATTCTGATAGACAGATACTCATCATCATCATCATCATCATCGGTTTTAGGAGTATAAGGCTGGGTGCCTGTGTGTTCCTCCCTTCCAAATATAAATCAATTAATCTTGATACTTTGGTATTTTATTTCCCAAAGTTAACTGTGAGTTATATGACAAAACTAAACTGGTATTTGACAAAAATCTAGTGAGTGCACTGATCATCCTACTGAGGTCACTACTTCTTCTTCATCATCTCTGGATGGTAGTGGGCATCAACCTTTGCCTTGAATTCATCTAGTGTCTGGGCGAAGACAGCTATTTCTGGGAGGTTGTTCCAGTCATTTATTACACGCTGGCTAAAGAATCCTTGTCTTAAGGCAGTACTTGTTCTGTTCTTGTAAAATTTTAGGCTGTGGCCTCTGGTGGTGTTATGGTTCAGTGTGAAGAACTGTGAGTGGTCTATGTTGTCAATGTTGTTCATCAGTTTGTACACTTGGATCAGGTCTCCTCTTTTTCTTCTGTAGGCCATGGAGAAGAGATTTAGCTGTTTGAGCCTTTCAGTGTATGGCAGTTCAGACATATTGGTTATCATTTTGGTGGCTCTTCTTTGGATCCTCTCAATTTTGTTTACGTCCATATTATATCTTGGGCTCCAAGCAACAGTACAGTATTCGAGGTGGGGGCGGACAAGAGTTTTGTAAAGGGGGAGAAGGATGTCTGGGTCTTTGTTAGAGAATGTCCTCTTGATGGATCCTAGGATTTTGTTGGCCTTGTTGGTGCAGTTAGACACATGATCGTGGAATTTCAACTCAGTATCTATTGTAATGCCAAGGTCGCGTTCTTCCGTAACTTCTTGAAGAGGAACATGATTCATCGAGTACTTGTGTCGGATGTTGTTTTTCCCTAGATGTAGTACCTTGCATTTACTGGTGTTGAACTTGAGCAGCCAATCGTTGGACCATGCAACAAGTGCGTCTACATCTGATTGTAGTTGCTGGATATCGGGTTCTCTGGGGATTGCATTGTACAGTTTTGTGTCATCAGCAAATATCTTGACAGTGGATAACACATGATCAGGTAGGTCGTTGATGTATATTATGAATGCCAATGGTCCAAGGCTGGTTCCCTGAGGGATGCCACTCGTCACTTTGGTCCAGCCTGATAGACAGCCATTGACTTTGACTCGTTGCCTTCTGTTTGTAAGGAATGCAGTGAGCCACTTCAAGAGGTCACCTTTGAAGCCATAACTGCTTAGTTTGTCGATCAGTCTTCTGTGCGGTACGCTGTCAAACGCCCGGGAAAAATCAAAATAGATGACGTCTATTGGCTCGCCCGAGTCAAGTAAACTGGTCCAGTCTTCTAGCACAGTTAGTAGTTGAGTGGTACAAGAGCGGCCAGGCACGAACCCGTGTTGTGCATCTGTGATGAGGTTGTGATCTACCATATGACTCAGCATCTCATCTCTGATGATAGCTTCCATTATCTTGCATACTATACATGTAAGCGATATAGGTCGGTAGTTGCTGGGCGCTGACTTCTTACCCTTCTTGTGTATGGGGGTGATTTCTCCATCCTTCCAAATTGCTGGTAATTTCCCGGATTTAAAGGACATGGTAAAAAGTATACTGAGGGGGAGAGCTAGTTCTTGTGAGCATTCTAGTAGGAGACGGGCTGGGATATTGTCAGGACCTGGGGATTTACATGCCTTCAGCTTTTTCAGTTTATACAGGACACGTTCCTCTGAGAAATCAACTTTGTCTAAGGTGTTGGGTGTTTTGGGGATTATGCTGGGAATATTGGTATCATCTTCAATGGTGAACATAGTGGCGAAGTAGTCATTGAGTATATCTGCTTTTTCTGAATTGATGTCAGTTGTACCCCCATCAGGTTTGTCCATTAAGCCAATTTTGGGGTGCGTTTTAAGCTTAGAGTTTACATATGCCCAGAAGGCCTTGGGGTTGACTTTGATTTGTCTCGCAATGTCCTTCTCAAATTCCCTGCAAAGTTGCCTGCACAGTTTTCGTGTTTCATTACTGGTTTTCTTTGCCTTTAAGTAGTCATGGTATGTTTTTGATTCTTGGTACTTTTTCCAGGCCTTTGCTTTTTTCCTTAATTGCTTCAATCCTCTTATTGTCATCCATTTTTTTCTCTTTTTCTTCTTCTTAGCTTTCAGTGGTATATAGGCTTCAATGTTGTTCATGATCGTGTTATGAAACAGATTCCATGCTTCTTCAATGGTTTTTCCATTAAAATTCTCTGTCCAGTTTGTTCCCTTTAAGTTTTCCCTAATTTTGCTGTAGTCTCCCTTATTGAAGTTTCTTGTATTAGTCGGGTTAGTACTGGGAGACTGGGGGCTTGGGTCAGTCATGGTAATTTCAAATTTTAGAGTTAAGTGGTCGCTGAGGCCTAATGGAGCTCCGTAGCTGATATCGCTGATTGAGTTCTCCTCTTTTGTGATAACTAGATCAACTAGGGTGTCGCGTTGTCCATGACGTCTCCGTGTCGGTTCCTTTACATGTTGGTATAAAAACAGATTCTGTAGGCAATTGACGTAGTTACTGCTGATGTGGTCGTCACACGCAGAGGATGATAAGTTTTCCCAGTTGATCTCGGGTAGGTTAAAATCCCCTGTTATACACATTTGGGTGTGGTTGGTTGAAGCGAGTTCTCTTGTCAGATTTATTAATTCTGTTTGTTGCTCTGTGGTTCCTCTGTTACTTGGACTTCTGTAGACTGCGCAAAGGAGTAAACTTGTTTTGTCCTTAAAGGTCAAGGTGATGGCTAAATGTTCACTGAAGTTACTGTTTGTTGTTTCGTAGGGCTGTACTCCTATGGTGTTGTTTACATATATAACTATTCCCCTCCTGTTTTTCTGCGATTCTGCTTTGTCGTCAAAGTTTCTATAACAATCGTATGTATCGTTGGAGATTTTGAGTTCGCTAAGTGTCATTGGGTCCTTTCTGTTCTTACAGAGAGCTTCAGTTATGATTATAACATCAGGGGATTCAGATTCTGCAATTAGTTCGAGTTCCTTAATTTTATTTGATAGCTGGTCTGCATTGCTGTACAGGAGTTTTATGGGGGGGTGGTCGCCTAGTCACTGTTCACCCGTGGCCTGGGACAGGCCGTCGTGATCATTCAGAGCTTTTCCACAGTTTTGTGATAAGGGTGGGGCAGGGCTGGTCCATACTGATGTAATTGGGGTTTGGGTGCTGTCTGGATTGGGCGGATTATCAATGGATGTTACTTCATCAATTTCAGCTGAACTCTCATAAGGGCCTGTGTTGTCTGAACTACTGCTAATAACACTGCAAGTGTCGAGTGTGTCCAAATCTTCATCAAGTTGTGGTGTGTCATCCTGGCCAAGATCACACAGGGTTTTAAAGGAGTTCTCAATTGGGGTTGGCTGGTCTTTCGGGGTCAGTGTCATAGTTGACTTTTTAAATTCTTTTGGCCTTGCATCAGTTGGTTTGGTTTCAGTGGGACATTTTGAATCTAGCTTGGGGTTTGGTTTTGCTTTATCGTCAGACTTAGACGTAGATTTGTCCTTCTTGATTCGTTTGGATTGGGGCGCAGGGTTGTTGTCACTTTTGGTTGTGGTGAGAGATGAGGTTGATTTGTATTGCGTCGTGTCATCTCGGTAGCAGAGATTCATATCATGATCTTGAACCCTAGGGGGAATGGCCCTGTTGGTACGTTGTGACAGACCTCCTCTGGGGGCTGTTCCACCTCTGCCTCGTGTCCTTTGGGTTGTATTTCCACGATGATATTGTTGATTTTCCACGTCGGGAGTAATACATACTATTTTCCCTCGTCTGATAGTGAGATTTTCTTCTCCTGCTTCCCTTCTCTCTTTCAATTCCTCTCTCAGTTTTCTGGAGATCTCTCGATCTTCTGGCGATAGGTCTGGGTGGATGTACACATTGGTCCACCGTCCTTCATACCTGAGTTTGCGTGAGCGGGACAGTATTTGTCCAGTGTAGTTGTCATCTTTCATCATGACAAGAAGGAGCCTTGGTTTGTTGAGTTTTCTACCTAATCTTATTGTTTTTACTATCTGGATGTTGGGAAGCTCGAGGCCATCTTCGAAGATCTGTTTGACTTCCTCTAGGTCCTGTGATTCTGCAGTTCCGAATTCAAGTGAGGTGAACTCTTCTAGATTATGGAGAATGATGTTCTTCCTGCGTCTTTCTTGATCATTGACACTTTTAAAACCGCTTCTTACTGATTCAGCAACATTTGGGTATATTTTGTTCTCAGACTTTTTCACTACTGAAGAGAATGACCTACTAAGCTGGGCAACTTCCTTTAGTGAGTTTTCAACTGCTCCCTTCCCTAAATTGATCTCTTTTGCTGACTCATTGAATGTGTCAATTTTTTGAGAGACATTGTTGTACAAATCTTGGAGATTTTTAACTTTAATTGAGACTGAATCAACGCTTTTCTTTGTCAGACTCTGGTCTTTCTTGATTGACATTAGGGAGTTTGCTACAGATTTTGCAACATCAAAAATACCTGATTTGGCTTGCTCAATAATGTAATTAACCTGCGGTTCACATTTGTGACAGTACCAGTGAGTTCCATTAGTTGATGCATTGAGTAGGGCTAGATCGTTTTCATCAAGATTTTCACAAGTGTTACAAATCCAGAGATCACAGAACTCACATCCGAGTAGGTTGGAATTGGGAACTTTGCATCTATCACATTTATGTTGAATGGAAGAAGTTGAAGGTGTATGCTTACCAGCTGTCGGTGTCACCTCGTTCGCGTTCTGGTTCTTCTCAGAGTTGGATTTTGGTGAAAGGATTTTTTTCAATTTTTCAATTTTTGACGTCTTCTCGTTTGATTTCTCGCGAGATTTAGGGCCCCTTTTCGACTTACTGTCATGTCGTTCATGGTGGGTCTTGTCCTCAGTATCGTCTACAATTATCGGTACTTGCTCAGTAGTTCTAGTTCTCATCTTCAGGTAGGATCTATTATTACCTTACTTAGAATTTGAACGGTACTGGCGTTGGAGGATTGATGTCGTAAATTTTTCTTTGCGTGATGAAGACAATGGGGTAGTCTAATTTGGGTACGGATTTCTGCAAAATGCGTCGCGCTCAGCTCGGAAGTTCCTTTGCATCAGGTAGTTGAGATATTGTTGTGGACTCTCTAAGATAATATAGATCTCAAATTATCCATTCTCAATGAATCATGCAAAGAGGCATTGTTAGTAAAAACCGATTAATGGTATTGGAGCTATGAACTGTTATATTTGCTATTTAGGCCAAGGTTGTTTGCTTGTCAAAAAGACCTTGAATAATTTTGATAAAAAAAAGAGATTCGAAGAACACAAAAATAAAAAATGGCCGGAAAATGAAGTTTCAAAATTGATTATATGCAGATAGCTACATGACAATCACATATAAATTTGCTTTAATAGGTTTTTAACATAATGATATACATGCAGAATTGAATTAATGCATACGTACCTACAGAACAACTGCACAAATCGGCAAATTCGATCGGTTTTCTCGGCTAACTTTTCACTCGTGTTTCTTCGCCAGATGGCGCTACTAATTTTAGAGGACACTTCCGGTAGAGATAGAAAATAAATTTGCAGTCAATTTATGTTCAATAACGAAGGTAATATTGATATTTTAAGTGTACAAACATAAGCAAACTGTTTATATTACGTATTTTCAACAAAATAAATCACATGAACTATTTTGCTGTGATGCTTTCTGTAAAAATACCCACTTCATTTCTGCAGTTATTTTTTTGGAGACTCCCTCAAGACTGAGTCAGTGATTCATTCACTGAGTCTGAGAACTTGAGAGATCAATTTGGCTTTGATCAACTATATTTTAGTGTTGTCGTTGTGTGCCATAATTGTACATTGATGCATTGGGAATTTTCTGGAGTAAAAATCTTGAATAATTGCAACTTGAGTTTTTAGGTAATTTTTGGACAGAGGAAGGCCTGCATTGAGTGTCCGACAATTACCCACATGGACGACATTGCCTCCCTGCACTCTAAATATAGAATGCAAATGGACTAAATTGGACTGCTTACATTTCAGGATTTAGTAAACACTCATAAATGTATCCATATCAGCTTTGCAGGGCTGTCAACCATCCCGCAATAATCATGATTGACCCGCAAATTTGATCACAATTTGGCCGAATTGTAGAATCTCGCAAATCCCTTGAATGTCCAGCAGTTAGGTTTACAAATTTGTCCCTTGAGAAAATATTCACGGGTTGACATGTCTTGCTTTGTCAACTCAGAGACATATAAAAGTATATGTCAACTCAAAGCACAAGCACAATATCTAAAAGAAATTACATGTAAACTACTGCAGGTGTCAAAATGAATTGTTTGGTCATAAGTTCCAGAAGTTTGGATACAAAAGATCAACAAACACATGTGAAATTCGTTTCTTGGTTTGTTGCTTTTACATATCATAGGTCTACGATTCTTTGATATTTTGGTTGCGATATTAGGTCTAACTGTATTTTAGATTAACTAATATAACAGAAGACTTGTTCATGCCTCGTTAATTTTCTAAAATAGCCAGTGGAAAACCTATGGCTGTTGCTGTCCTTTCCTCTATTTTAGAGGAAGTTAAACTCTTTCATTTCATTCTAAACTCACCTGCAAAAGAGAGTAAAATATTCTTCAATATTTTAATGATTTTGTAATTTATCAGACATTGTTGACTGATGTGTCAACAAACTAACAAACTATGCACTATAATTTATTTTGTGATAGGTGACAATGTTTTCATGGAAGTCACCATGAGAAAAATGGAAAGTCAGAAAATTACACATGCTTCTTTCTATCAGATACTGTAAATGCTTCATAATCGACAAATAATGGAATACAGATACATTTGTGAGTGTTTGCCAAATCCTGGAAGGTAAATCGCAGTCACATTCTTTAACTAAATCTTATTTTTCTAATTTGACTGACAAAAATAAAAACATTGAAATAGCTTTGTAGGTTTAGGGTTTTAGATGAGCTGCCCCTACCCTGATCCTTGACTCTTGACTTTGACTTTGTAGGCTTATAAAATCTGATATACACAAATGGTTATGGTTGCCTATGGTTGCATCTATACACCTCAGGCTCAGATCTGGCCCTACACTAGCCAAACATTGATTCTCAATTCATGTAGCCCCTATTTTCAGAGAAACGTGTATAGAACACAAAATATAGGATAACTCTGCAGCCAGCAAAATTTGGCTAGCCTAGCATGTAATGGAGGCATTGGTTAGAGGAAACATAAGCCCTCTCTGAAATCAAATCGAAAAAATCTCAAATCTAATGACAACCCAATTCGGCATCTTTTAGAGAGATAAGGAAACATACATGTCACATGTGATGGTCAAATCATGTGGTCCATGTATTAATATCTTATGTTTGCTTGTACATGTATATTCATTTATGATACAGTCACAAAAACTGTCATATGTATTTCAGATCACACCAAACAAGAGATGACATCAGAGGCATCCTTTCCTGCTCCAAAATCATGTGATACTTTTGTCGCACTGCCTCCTGCGACCAGTAATGGAGCTGTAATCTTTGGAAAGAATTCTGACAGACCTATGACTGAAGTGCAGGAAGTTGTATATGTTCCTTCAAAAGACCATGCAGATGATGAAAAACTGGAGGTAAGTGGTCTATTTTCTACTTTTTAATGAGTGACACTCCCAATCTTGACACACCACCTCTCATAATATTGTGTCTGTTTAATCTGAAATCATGTGGCTTTTTGTTAAATGAATAATGACTAACATTTGTGTGACTTTATAAGATGTGATAGAATTTCGGAATTCTTAATTCAATATTGTATATACGAGGGTTGATCATAAAGTTCTCATAATATCTCTCTAATTTCTTTATTTTTCAATAATTTTCTATGAAATTTTCATAGAATGTGCAGCATGGAATGGTATATTAATCCAGCAAACAATATTTAGAATAACACAAACATTGAATAAGAAATGGTTGCCATAGTAACTTGAAATCAAGGCACCCGGGGCAAAATTAAAAAAAAACTAGCTAGAATAGCCCCCATTAACCATGTTGAAATACATAATAAGTTGTCAAATAAGCTATCAAACACATTAAATTGTCAAATAATATGTGCTCTTGACTGTTGTGAACTATTATAATGGTCATGTGAATTGTGTGATCGCATAATGGATGATTGTTATGCTTCATTATAAATGACTGTTAGACCCCATGACTGTTTTGTCAAATATCCTGAGGAAAATTGATTTTGCCCCTTTAGTTCATTTTTAACATGTATGGACCACACACAGGGTGTAATTTTGTTGATATCTTAGCAATATATTTGTTTTAGATCATGTTTAGTCTGACCAAAGGATCTAACAAACTTAACATAACATAACATTTTATCAGTATGAATTTTATTTTTCTGAAGGTCTCTGCATCTATTGCATTTTCTTACTCAGTCATTTCTGATCATTAGCTTTGAGTGTTAGATTCTGGTATCACATCTAATGAAGCATGAAATCATCCCCTATGACATCACCTAATTTACACGATCGATTTATTTAATTGTTAAAGCACTTTACAACATATTCAAGTTAACATTTTAACGTGTTTGGTAATTCATGAGAGTTTATTATGTATTTTGCTGAATTAATAAGACATTCTATGCTGTACATTCTGTGAAAATTTCATTGGAATATATTGAAAAATAAAGAAATTAGAGAGATATTATGAGAACTTTATGATCAACCCTCGTATATACCAATGTTAAGAATATATGAAATAACAAATATCCAAATAATCAAAAAGAAACGTGAAATAATAGCATTGGAGTGAGTTTCCTTGTTTAAACTTCATGAACTGTGCTCCTTTCAATTTACTGATAATACATGTGATAATATGTACTATTCTCCCATTTCAGTGTACCTACATCTCTATTGATCAAGTGAAACACACCAATGCAGTAATCCTGAGCAAGCCATCTTGGTTATGGGGAGCTGAGATGGGATCCAATGAACATGGAGTATGTATTGGAAATGAGGCTGTGTGGACCAAACCCCAGTCTGACAGTGACCTAGATGAGAGATTACTAGGAATGGATTTAGTCAGGTGAAAATTTTATTGATAGTATATTACTCAAGTATATTGAAGTCTGAGTTGTTTGTTGAGTAGTGCCTTAAAATACAAAATATGTTTGATTCAAGCTTGGAGGTTGAGCAGTGAGCACTCATCTGGAAATGGAGGGATTTTGGATTTGAAATCCATTGGGTCACATAAGATCTTAGTACAGTGTTTTCATTTGAAATTGAATTATCTAAGCTATTTTATATCAAGTCAATGAATATGGTCACGATTTAAACTCTGATACTTTCAGATTGGGCTTAGAAAGAGGAGCAACTGCTAAAGAGGCTCTTGATGTCATAACTGGTTTATTAGCCAAATATGGTCAAGGAGGGCCATGTGCTGAGGGAGATCAGTGGTCATACCATAACAGTTTCCTCATATCTGATAAAAGTGTGGCTTGGGTTCTTGAAACTGCTGGAGAACATTGGGCGGCTGAGAAGATCACAAGTGAGTTGTTAAATAAATGTAGTCAGAATTTTCAGTAAGCACATTTTTAGCTTATTTAATAATGTCACCACCAATTGCAAGCTTTTTGATTTCTCTACTATTTGCTAGAATAATTTATCCCACGATTATTGGGTTTTCTGAAAAATAACACCCAGCGATATTTCTGAAATTATGGAGATCTGTGTGAAATTTTTCAAAAAAGCGTTTATCAGCTGCATATATGGCTGATATCATTTATCAGGCGCATATCAGTATGATAAACAAAATAATTTTTTGGGGAATATTTGAATGTAATCAAAAGATAAACCAAATGACTGATCATTTCTCATGATATCATTTTATTGGCTCTTAGATGTCAAATATCAACATTCACTCGTGTTGATATTTGATACCAACTCGTCGATAAAAATGATATCACTTAAAATGATCTGATATTCTGTATGTCATTTGATTTATGGTTGTGATGTGTCGTTTAATTTATGGTTGTGATATGTCATTTAATTTATGGTTGTGATATGTCATTTAATTTATGGTTGTGATGTGTCATTTGATTTATGGTTGTGATATACCAATTACAGGTGGTGTAAGGAACATCTCAAATGAACTTTCAATAAGGACTAAGATTGATGCTATGTCTGATGGTTTAAAGGAGCATGCTAAGTCAAATGGCTATTGGGATGGGGAGGGTGAGTTTGACTTTGCCAACGTTTACTCCAGTGGAGGGGTATCAGACCTTCCATCAGGAAGATATGGGGCTGGGAAAGCCCTCTTGGAGAAACTCTCTAAAGGAGGTAAGTTTTTTTTCAAACTGTTTTTCATACTTTGCAGAGATCTTTGGATTGATTCAGCCCATTTTTCACCCATGGTTTAACTTTAAGGTCTTTTTAAAAAGTCCATGGGCAATTATTACTTCAATGAACAAATTTTGGTAGGGATTTAGATGGCCGCTGCTTTTAGCAAGAATTTTTAGAAAATCTCTAGGTTTTTTATTTCCAACCAAAGTATTGAGTATAACTGTTTGAAATTTTGATAGTTTCAATATATCTTTTTCACATGTGATCCATGTTTTTGGGCCTGATCCCCGGGGACTGTGAATAGGGGCCAGGAAAATAGGAATATTTGTTAATTTAGAAGTCTTTCTGGAGTATAACTTAATTATGCTCAAATAAAAGGCATTTTAAAATAGATTGCAAATGTTGAATCATATTTCTGATGTGTGCTTCAGAAAATTTTATGTAGCAATTTCAAAGTATTTTTGACATCTCTTCAAAGTTTGACGATATTTTATTTAAATGAAATGTATTTTAGAGTAGATCACAATTATTGTATAATTTTTCTGATTCAGGACTTAGAAAATTCAAAATGGCTGCTTAATGCGGGATTTCAGAATAATTACGAGATCTCTTGAAAGTATGGCTATATAATTCTGAAATCAAAGATATTTTAAAGAAAGGAAATGATGCATCATAAAACCATTTAATTCATGATTTCTGCTTTTTAAATTTCTAGGTGAATTTGGGACCATTGACATGTTCAAGATATTACGAGATGAAGAGAGTGGCATATGTATGACAGGGGCATTCTTGTCAACTGGGAGCCAGGTGTCTGTGGTACCAGGTCCTGATTCTAATTCACCAAGCTGTCACTGGTTTACAGGTAAGTGTAAATAGTCCCTGTATTAAATTCACTGTTTTAATGTTTCCCTGTCATCCTTGCAGATTTTGATCAATTGCATAAACTCAAAATAGCAAAAAATGGCCACAGACATCAAAAAAAGATTACAACTTAAATACTTTTGTGACTTTTTTGAGAGCACTGAAAATAAATCATTAGTATTTGGTCAGTATTTAGACAAACATCTCCAGTCTCTTAAACATGCACATCGAATCCTTGATTTATGAATGAGAATGAGAGCATTTGTATCACCATTTATTGACGACCCTCGATTAACCTCTTGACTACCTAGAGTGACGAGATTTCTTGTCACTCAGAAATGACCTTAGTGCCGAGATTGACTAGAAAATCTGTCACAAAATTTTTCACTAAAATTGCTCATATTTGAATAATTATCCCATCGAACGAAGTTCGGAGGGATATAGGGAACGCCTCCCTCCGTCCGTCCATACGTACGTTCATCCGTCCGTCCGGGCAATAACTCAAATACTGTTGGCCCGATTTTGTTCATATTTTGTACACATATACCCTATGGGGGTAGAAGTTCTGCTCGAAAGCCGATTTTCAAAATGGCGGCTCATTTCAAAATGGCGGCCATTTTAGTGCCGAATTTACAGTAATTTAGGTGCAATATGTAAAACTGTAATAGCGATATGTTATAGATGTAAAAAAATTATATAGGACATTAATAAAGCTAGAAATGTAGATATTAAAGAAGCACATGGCAGCCATCTTGAAAAATGGCGGCCTTTACTCGTTATTTTACGATTTTTGCTGTAACTCGAAAAGTAGTGGAGCGATTTTGTTCATATTTGGTATGTGAATACTATAAACATTGCACACTGTCTAAAGACACTTTTGGTAGAAGGTGGCCATTTTAAAAAATGGCCACCATTTTGAAAAATGGCCGCCATTTTAACCTATTTTACTATAACTCGAAAAGTAGTGGAGCGATTTTGTTCATATTTGGTATGTGAATACTATAAGGATGGCACACTGTCTAATGACACTTTTGGTAGAAGGCGGCCATTTTGAAAAAAAATTTGAAAAATGGCCGCCATTTTAACCTATTTTACTATATATAACTCGAAAAGTAGTGGAGCGATTTTGTTCATATTTGGTATGTGAATACCGTAAGCATGGCACACTGTCTAATGACACTTTTGGTAGAAGGCGGCCATTTTTCAAAATGGCCACTATTTTAACGTATTTTACTATAACTCGAAAAGTAGTGGAGCGATTTTGTTCATATTTGGTATGTGAATACTATAAGTATGGCAAATGGTCTAATGACACTTTTGGTAGAAGGCGGCCATTTTAAAAAATGCCAGCCATTTTTGCTATATACTTTGTTTGTAAAAATGCCATCCACGGCTGTTCGATGGGATTTGCTATGCTTTGGCGTTGCCGTTGTTCTGGTTTTCATCCAATTTACTCAAAAATTTTTTTAAAATGTGTAGAAATGATCTCTGTCGTCTAATTGTACTAAGTTGAGCATCTAAAGTTGTATAGGTAAATGTAGTAAAATGTTAAAAGGCGGCAAAAATGAAAAATTCTCTGGTTTCAACCGATTTAAGAGCCTGGGATTCAAGAGGTTAAGTTCTTAATTTTATTATAAAAATACACTGACTTAAACTTGGAAATACACTTGTATTCCCTGCTTCTGGAAGATAAAAGATTAACATCCCAGTGTCATCTTCCTGAACCTTACCAAATGTTTTTATCTCATTTTATTATTTTTTTTATTCAAATATAGCAACTCCAAATCCTCAGCAGTCCATCTTCAAACCATTTGTCTTCTGTGAGGGTTCGAGTATCGGGGAGAACACCACATCGCCAAGTTATGGGGCAGAGGACCCCGTTAAAATAAAACCAAGATTTGCAAAAACTGTTGATCGCAAACACCCTTTGTACAAGCTCCAGAAACAAATGCGTAGTCTTCTGGACAGAGGTGATGAAAAGGCTGTGGAAATGTTGAAAAATATGTTAGAAATGGAAACGCATTGTGTTGCCGATACGGAAGAAGTGTTGAGAAATTTTGATGCATCAAATACCCAAAAGGTAGCGCCAATTTTCAAACACATGGTCGATTTAGAAATGAACTTCTACAAAATGATGTAAATCTAAAAATAAAATGTCACATAGTTCAAGTCATTCCTTTTCAAATAGAACAAACTTTGCAATTGACTTAATAGGGGGGATAAGTGGGTATTCTAAATGTTAAGAAAGAGACTTATTTCTTCTCTTCTAAATAAAAGTACAGAACCAAGATGATACATAATTTCAGTCTAATGTTTGAGAAGAGGGGAAGAAACCCCAGGGTTCAAAGATGACATACGCTTATAATGTAAATCTGTATTGAGATGACATCGTCGCTGATTGGTTTAGCGAGTCGATCATTGATTGGTCTAAAACTAGGTCAATTTGAAAATTTTGAAAACCAAGATGGAGGGTAAACAAATAAACGTACTTCCGGGAAAGGAGGTGCGCGAAGGAGGAAATCGCATGTCATGAATTGAATCATGGTGTTTTCCCTCCTCTTATGTTTGAGAGAAGTTCTGTGGAAAATCATGACTTGATCCATTGTGACATTTTGTTTGAAGGGGGTGGCAATTGTTTTATAAATTGTATCTGTTACAATGATTTGCTTTGTCATTTCTGAAGTATAATCTATTTAAGTGCAATATGTTAGCTAATATAGCCCAGTGTTGGGAAGATAACTTGCATTGTAATTAGTTTATTAGAACTTTATCGACCCAATGCCTAAGCTCATGGCATAAACTTAATCTAATGCTTATTGTGTGGGCAAATCATGTATTATTGTGGGCAACACATTAGGTGTTAGTGTAGGCAACATGTGAATTGCTGTGGGCAACTTATATGGCTGACAATCTACTGCAAAATACTCATATTGTGAAAGTGTTTTGGTCAATCTTAAATCACTGGGTGTTTTTGATAGGAAATGTAGTATTGCAAGAATTATTTAAGTGATTTTATAAAATACAGTATTACACAAACAAGCAAAATGAAGACATTAAAAATTACTTTGCAATTCTCATTTGCAAAATGAGCTGAGAATGTATGCAGATTTTTTTAGCATAAATATGGTGCCATTTCTCATTTAGCATAAATATGGTACAATACAGTGTATCTCATCCTTGGATTGAGAACTAATGCGTTAGTGATATAGCAATTCTATAACCATTTAGAATTTAATTAAACTAGCCAGCTTAATTATAACAGAAGTAATTGAAATACAATTTTGCAAAGTTTATAGAAAATGGGATTAATAAGTAACAAAAATAGACTATCACTAATTGGATTGTCTTTGTTACTATTTGTGTTGTGCCATCTCTGATGATATATTGTGGTATTGTTTTTATTTTATTTATTTATTGATTTGTATTTAATGAGAGATTTGTTCAAATACCTAGGTTAAACATAGGTTATAGCATATAATTCATACTGCATGGCCGTTAGTATAGATGTGTTGAGCCTTATTTAACCCAAGATTTACAGTTCGGCTAATTGAATAAGATTACATGGTTATACTTTATTATCTCACCGAACGAAGTTCGAGGGGGATATAGGAAAGCCGTCCGTCTGTTTGTCCGGGTGATTGCTCAAATGCCTACTGGAGCTACACTGAAGAAGAGATTTTCAAAATGGCTTCGAAATATCAAAATGGCAGCCACGTAATTTTTGATAACTCAAATACCAGTGAACGGATTTGGATCAAATTTTATATGATGATGCCTAGGGACAAAGTAGATTTGTTCGAGAAAGAATTTTAAGATGATGGCTGAATTTCAAAATGGCCGCCATTTTTCATCAAAAAATGTAATCTTTGATAACTCAAATACTAGTTGACGGATTTGGTTCAAATTTTATATGCTGGTGCCTAGAGACAAAGGAGCAACGCTGAAGAAGAGATTTTCAAAATTGCTGCTAAAAATCAAAATGTCGGCCATTCTTCGTAATCTTTGATAACTCAAATGCTAATTTATGGATATGGCTTACATTTTATATGTTGATGCCTAACAAACAAGCTCTGCTCAAGAATGAATTTTCAAGATGGCCACTAATAATGAAAATATGTTTTGTTAGGTAGGATTTGCCACTCCGTAGAGTTGCGGTTTTCTAGTTAGTATTTTGTATATAGATGGAGAAGTTAATGTTATAAATGTTCTATACAAGACAACATACCTACGAGAGATTACACATGTGGTACAACAAGAATACATCAATGGAGAAAATAGAGAAAATTAGAGCGTGGGCCATCCCTTATATTCGTCCTTTTGGAATATACGTTTTACAAAGCTGCTTTATATACACCTCAAGGTTGTACAAGTATTATGATAAATGTCTTGATATGAATGTTTCATTGAATTCCTCAAAGTTCCATCTTTTTATCTACATCTATGAATGTTCATCTCTCTGGTAGTAATGTACTATTAACAAAGTTGTTGATTTTCTTTCTCAGAGATATTTATTTTTATGTAATAATTAATTATTTCAGTTCGATTCAAATATAATTTTATTTCTGAAGAAGTAGGATGGACATCCTACGAAACGTCAAAAAATAAAAATAAAAATCTCTGAGAAAGAAAATCAACAACTTTGTTAATAGAACATTAATACAGTTTTTGCAGTTTGTATAATTATGTAAAAAAGACTTGATGTCTCTAAAATCACATGTAGTATATGTGTTGTCTGAATGTCAAATGAAATGTGCATATATTCATTTTTTGAATTGTAATCACAAATGTTAATTTGAGCACATTGTTCTCCTTGCATGGAGTAAACATGAATGCATCAAAATCAATTCGAATATTGTATTCTAGTTCTGGAATGCCTTTTATCAAATGTTATATCCTTTGTTTTAATTTTGCAAACGAATAATATCATTTGTAATTGCAGTAAACAGGTACATGGATTAGTGATACTTAGAAATCTTAGTATGCTATTAATGGAACTAAATCCATGTCTATAATGTGAAACAAATCCATTTTGATTAAACTAACCCAATTAAGTAAAACAAACCCACCTTTTGTCAAACAACCCCATTTTGATCAAGCATGTGCTTGCCCATTTTGGTGAAACATACCCAGTTTTCTGAAATATACTCATTCTAGTCAACCATAGGGATTTTCGTCAAACATACCCACTCTGTTCAAATATTGTATTCCCATTCTGGTCAACCATACTCATTTATGTCAAAAAACTGTATACCCATTTAAGTCAACCATAGGTATTTTTGTCAAACAAAACCCACTCTGTTCAAATATTGTATTCCCATTCTGGTCAACCATACTCATTTATGTCAAAAAACTGTATACCCATTTAAGTCAACCATAGGTATTTTTGTCAAACAAAACCCACTCTGTTCAAATATTGTATACCCATTCTGGTCAACCATACTCATTTATGTCAAAATACTGTATACCCATTTTAGTCAACCATAGGGATTTTTGTCAAACAAAACCCACTCTGTTCAAATATTGTATTCCCATCCTGGTCAACCATACTCATTTATGTCAAAATATTATACCCATTCAAGTCAACCATACCCATTTTAGTACACATAACTATTGTGCATAACCATAACCATTCTGGTCAAACAATCCCATTCTGGTCAAACAATCCCATTCTTGGTCAAACAATCCCAATTCTTGGTCAAATAACTTGCAGTATGAATATTTTTCATTGACAGTTTTAAATGTTTGTAATATTAACTTTAATATATGTTGCTGACTTCAGTCCACTCATTATTTGTCTGTGTATGTGATAAAGAGAATGTAGATAAGTAGATAAAAGATTGCCATGTGTTATCTTATATGTTATCTAGACCTACTATGAGTAATGTTGAAAATTTACATGTATTGAATATTGTGATAGTAAACTACATAAAATAATCTAAACAGTATAAAAATTTTCGCAATGCTGGTTTTTATATCTAAAATTACTGTATGTATGAAACAGCTGAATGTAGAATCAGTACTGTGTATTGTTGTGTACTTATGCTTGCCAAATGTTGTAGAAATATTTGATGTGCATTGTAATTTATGTTGTGTGAAGTAAAATTCATTATCTAGTCAATTAAGAACACTTGTTGGATCTAAGGGGGCGGTGTCAAATTGTCAAGTTTTTCTTACTTTCGTAACTTTTGGACCCCCCTCCTCCTTGTAAAAAGTGTCTCAACCTCTTGATTCAGCCTAAAATACCCCAAAACATGCACCTAGGTTATAGGTTTTTCGAAATCTCATGAATTTTATGCAGTAATGCATTTGATTAGAGATGTGAGTTGAAAAAGCTCTGAATAATGTTGTGATAGAAAAAATTGTTTGCTACAAACAAAACAAAACATGTTGAGCACTTGAAAGTATAATTTATATGTGTTTTTCTGTTAAGCTAAGTTTCATTAATGAAATTGAAACTTCTAATGACATTGATAATTGATATGGCCCCTAATCTATTAGCTGTTGTTTAGCTCACTCTCTATTCTCTTTTTTAGTGTTATAGCTCTCATTCATTATTCTAGAAATGACAACTTGTCATATGTCTAAGGTAACATATTGTGTGAACAATAGACACTATGACTACTAAGTGTAACAACTTGAAATGTTCCCAGGTAAAATATGACTCATGGTGATAAAAAAAAGTATTTTACAAGTCCAACTCACTCGTTCTAACATTCCAAATGTAATGATTTAAATATGTATCTTAAAGCTGGACTACGCTCCGAAACGCAATCTTGGGTTGTTTCGGGGTTGAACTTTATCATTTTGAGCTTAATGAAAGATTATAGAATGATGAACAAATGGGGCAAATCTTGTGTAGAAATACTTACGATAAATGTGTCATTTCAAAGATTTTTCATTGAATTTGCTTCGATCGGTGCCGGCGATATGATTTTGGAAAGGTTTCTAAATGAAGAACGTGACGTCACTTCCGAATCATAGCATTCAAAATAAGTAGCGTTTAATTACTCCCTCCTTTCATAATAATACTGTGGTGTAGCGGGTAGAATCCTCGCTGAGCACGCGGGAGGCCCGGGTTCGAATCCCGCACTAGCCTTTTTATTTTTTTAACTAAATGATTGTTCTTTGATATTACGCAGAAAAAAACAATTTTTATTTACATAAACTTTATATTAGAGCTTGAAAATGTAAAAACAATATATGTCAACATATTGCGTTTTGGAGCGATGTGCAGGTTTAATATTAAATGTTAGTATTTATTGAAAATGCTTATTATGTATGTGAAGTCTCACATATACATTAACATTTGACAGCTGTATTTGTATAATGTCGTAATATGATATTAAAAGGCTAATGCCAAAAGTAATACAATGAAATACAATAAATAGAAAATATCTTGTGCTGTTCATTATGTTCAGATCCTATATTAGCCTCCCAGAAGAAGTCTTAAATTGTCCCTTTTAAGGCAGAGATATATCCAGGATCTAAAGATAGATGGGGCAAATTAAATCTTTTGTGGGATAAGCTTTGTGTCAAGATTTGTAGATATCAAATTGCAGGTTGTTTCAAATTTCAAAACTGTTTTTTAGCTGAGTCCTAAAACCAACTAAGGGCCCTCCATCTAAAATGTAATGAGGCATTTGCCGAGGCTGCGATAGCTAGCTTGACACCCATGTTAGGGTTCATCAGGGTTTAGCAATAAATGCTATTCTTCGTTTGATGAACTTCGAGATGAGCCACCCAACCCCACATTTACTAAGGTACAATTCGCAAATTCAATTATCGGCTGACAGCTTAACCACTATTTCTATATATGGTCAATTCAGTTTGCCTAAAAAGTGGTTAATCCATCAACTGGTGGTTGAATTTGTGAATGACAGCTGAGGTTAAAGATTCCATTGTCTTGTCACACAATATCTGAATTCAAGGACATAATGAGGTTACTGAAACAATCCTGAAACTAAATTATGACCCACGTTTGCCAGATGAAATAATAGTAATGTAATTGTTGTTTCAAATCTAAGATTTATTTAAATCTCTTAATATGTACATACCGGTATGCAATGATCACAAGTATTGAACTGAACAGACTCCCAAGTACTGAGTGTTGAATCAAAATAGATAATGTTGTATAGAATACATAATACATTTGAGCAACATTAGCACATAACCTTATAAACTGAAATAATATATAGGTTGATTCAAAACATTTTTACCTGTGAAAAAATGCTATTATTCAAATAATAACATTAAGGTAGCAAGGACTAAACTGCCATTTCATTTTGGGCTGTCTAATTTCGATTTTTCACATTTTTGAAGAACAAATTGATGTCTGATCAACCCATAACACAACAAATCAATAAATCCATCATTTACACTCAAACAAATTCATCATCACCTATGCTTGTGGGAGAGAGGGGTCAACCCCACCCCAAACATACTAAATTGTTTTTACCCTTAATTGTTTAACTAAAACAGGCTCAACTAAACATATAAGGAATGTACATAAAGCATTGAGACTCTCGGTGTAGTATGTCCTAGTAATTTATAAACCATTTTATGAGGCTCAGATCATGTACATCGTATAAACACTATTAATCAAAGTACAGTTACACATGGAGACATTCTAAACAAGGTCATCTCACCCTTCAAAATTCACTTTAAATCACATACCAAGATCATGTTAAACCAATGAGAGAAGCACATTGACTGTTGATATTGATACATGTTTATATATTTGTATGTTAATACTTCAAAGCAATTGAACAAAACAGTTATATAAATTAATATATAAATACATGGGTACATTTTACTTCACTGGCCCTTTAGGACTCATTTTGCAACAATCCTTGAAAGTTTCTTTTACACTGATAAGTGACAAGCTATATTCGTACACATAAATATATCCTATACACAGTATTGTATTTTCTATGGCACAACCACAAGTGGTGACATATTGTTAAGGTCTCCAACTTTTTTGTGGACCATTTTCGGTGTTTGGTAGTTGGTGGGTGGTGGTTGGCATCTGTAATAAATGGCAGGTGGTGACATTTTGAATGTTAACGTCTTGTATCTTTATATAGCAAATATAAACTTCACTTCATAGACTATATTGACATTTAGACATCCACGAACAACATAATGTATCTTAACTATAACTATTCTATAACAAGATGTACTATACATTGTAAAAATTCTGAATTTGTATTAGGAAAATGCTTCGTTGACTCTCACATAGCCTTGCAGATGTCCTTATGAGTTACTGCATCCCTTGTCCGTAAAAATGCTATATTATGTATTTTAATTGTGCCGAACAATTAATATACCATAACTGCATGTATCGGCACAGTGAGTTAACCGGGGTACATTACCAGAAAAGGTAAATAAGCTGAGAATTATTATTGCTCTATTTCCATGGTTAATTTGAGGTCATATATTTGACATAAATCATAAAATTGAGGTCTTTGTTTTGATTCTGATACGATAAACAGACAAGAAACACAACTATTTGCATAAATGAATTTTAGCGGTCATACATACTCCAATATAGACCATAAATCAATTGTTCTAGCTATTGTGACGCCAAGTATCATATTAGAATAATCATTATATTAAAGGCCCCATGTAAAGTTTAAACCACTTTGGCTTATATTGTAGTCTTACCCAATGTTATCAAAGTGTGATATGTGAAACTTTTTTTTTAAATTTCAAAAAGTGGTTTTTGATAGACTTTTTGTTCCAAAATTTGTGAATTTATTTAAAAGTAACTTTAAGAGGTCACTCATATCTTGTAATTAGCCACAATTCATACCAATGCATAGCATTCATCCTCCCATGTTTTTTGCCGAAAAAAATAAGAAAATCGGTTCATAAATAAGCAAGAAATGAACTTATCAGTGCATGAAAATGGTTCTGAGAAAATTTTTTTCAAAAAGTTTTTGGTACCTTAGTGACATCACTAATGTTTCAAAATATTTTTGATATGTTAAAACATTGAAGTGGCCCATTAAATATGGCATTTTATTATTGAAATAGTGTGTCCTTTGTTCAACCTTTGCATTGGTGTTAAAAAGATAATCTTTTTTTGAAATGCATTAAGAAATATTTGATGATTAGGAAATTTCAAATTTTTTTGAAAAATGGCGGGAAATTTGAATATTTGAGAAATGAAATGCTCACAACTTTTTTTTCAACATATTTTTCTTGTTCAAAAATCTCTAAAATCACTTTTTAAGTCCTGGCAAATAGTAAATGAATGATAAAAAAATATTTTAAAACTTTAGACGGGGACTTTAAAGAATGTTCTGGTAACGCACCCCTGTAAAAGTTCAAAATGTTCTAGTAACACACCCTTGTACAAGGTTTAAGAATGTCCAAGTCAGCAATTACCCTGTAGACTAGATCACGGGTACGAACCAGACATCATCATACTGTGAGTATTTCAGGATCTATGTTAAGCTGATCTTACTGATGAGTTTGCCAATAGACTAGGCCCCTTGCCTGAGCAATGATATTGCTAAGCAAACTCACTGTATCATAAGGTCTGGATAGTACCCACCTTACAGCTTTTCAAATTATACTGCAGAACACAAATGAGAATTAGGTTTTGATATAATTAGACTAGACTCATTTTACAACTAGAAACCACTCATAAGTAGGAACAAAGGATATTTCATCAAATTCCGTGTCATTTTGGACATTACATGAGAGTAATAACCAGCTAGAGTAATATATATCGTTGGGATTCTTCGGATATATATACCAGTGGAAAGCTTTAGACTAACATACTTGCGTAGTACATGTTCTTTCATCACACATTATATAGTACTATCATATATACAGTCTGTATGTTAACAGTAGCATGACAGTGTTTTCTCAGAGCATATGTTTGATAGGAAAATAACTTCCTACTACCCTTTAATTTGTCAAACATGAGGTAAACACATAAAATAAAATGTATAATATTAATGGAATAGTCCATGTGTGATTTATATTCTAAATATTATATCTCAAAATATAAATTCTATATTATGAGAAATTAATTTAGGTAGAAATAAGTTCTTCAAAACAAGATATTTTACGTGGCTACAATACTTAACTCTGTTGATATCTACTTCCCTTGACGGGAGTAGTCGTTGTTTATTCAGATTTTTGCATGATGAGGAATTAAGAGGGCAAAATGGATTCTAATTTTTGAAAAACTGCTTACTATCTCTGATTCTAGTTTTAACTACCCCTATTACTTCCTGCTTTATCCTTTTTATCTAGAACTTTCAGGTGGTTAAGTTTTTCTTTGAATTTATCCATAAATCTTGCAGTCCTACTTCCCTCTTTATGTAATACAACTGACTCTTCTGGGGCTTTTACTAGAATCTTATTTTCCTTGTCTATTGGATTTTCCTGAATTTCTTGGATTTCAACATCTTTTGCTTTTGTTTCTCCATTAACATCTGGTGGAGCTTGGTTATCAGCATCAACATGTACGTTAATGTCATTGTTATTATCATTATCATCTGAGGTTTTGATCACTGCATTTTCGACACTATGATCTAGAAAGAAAACAAAGAAATTGCAAATAAAAATTGTAATATCATTGTAAAATACAAGCTACCTTTATCCTTTTTACAAGTCCTAGAAATAAAATAAAACAGGCACTGTATTAGCAAAAAAGGCTGATTGTGGAATCTTCTTATATCACGAGAAATTTTGGCTTCACATAATTTTAATTACTGTTATTCCAGTGTAAAAGATGTAAAGCAATACAACCATTTCTTACCTGATTTAGGCAGCACAAGCTTAGACTGGATACCATATGGTTTCAGGTGGTATATTAAGTATTCTAACACATACATCATATTCGGTGAGACATAATGAAATGAGATTGCATAGTCACTACAGCAATCTGGGCCCTGAAAGCACAGAAAAAACAATTATGCAATTTCACTTTCAAATTTTTCAGGATATGGTTAAACAATCCTAATTTTTTATCAGAAAAAATATTTAAGATATAGAATTTTAAAAATTCATTAGAAATAAAAATGCGACCAATATCATAGATGCGAGTAGAAATAATCTTGATTTATCAGAAAAAATATTTAAGATATAGAATTTTAAAAATTCATCAGAAATAAAAATGCGACCAATATCATAGATGCGAGTAGAAATAATCTTGATTTACGTCATTAAAAATTCAAAATCCAGTCAAACTGATGTCATATTTGGAATCTACATGTAAAATTACATCTAGTAATGTTGTTTTGAAAAGAGTTTATCAACTTTGAAAATTTAATTTTCTTTGAAAATGTAACTTCTAGGTCGGAGAGATTCCCCATAGACCCCATGTCGTAAAATCACAAAAAGTGAAATATCTTTTCTTGTGTTGGGCAGATAATATTTTCTTTTACTGGACATATTTTGATTTGTATTACTATCAGATACATAAGGGTAATATGAAAAGTGAACAACTAAAACTGATGAATATTCAAGTTTAAGGGAATTTTGTTATTTCCCCCGAATCAGCCACCTGGTGTCGAAACTGGTAACTAGCTACTCGCATCTGAGTAATTGTCATGAAATAGTGAGAACATTTAAGAAATGGAACTGGTACAAACAGAATGTATTCGCGCAATTCTAATACATAGTATCACATTGGCAAAACAGCAAAACAAAATAATTTACATGACTGTTTAAGTTTACAATCTCTACTTACACAGGCTGGTATCGAAAGATTTGTCCGCTGTGACGGAGCATGCTATTTTTCATAAAAACACTAAGAATACTTCACGATTTATTTTTTAACTCATATGTTTCGTTATATCAAAGATAATTACTTACTCCATGCAATGGATATATCATTTGCGTGTAACCTTCACTTCTGTTTGAAGTCCAATAACGCTAGGAGTAAAATCTATTGAAAACGGTGCCAGAGTATCAAACTCTAAAATGTACCATTTCTTTTTTAACTTTTTAATGGCATGATATAATGACACGATAATATTAACATATGTTTTCAACATAACGCTGAATGTATTAATGAGATATTAATGCATTGGGTCTTTTTAATTTTTTTTAATAATTTGCAACTGCTCCGTCACAGCGGACAAAAAAATTAAACATTATTTTTTATAAAAGAATTAAAAAGACCAAATACATCAACATCTCATTTATACCTTCATAGTTATGCTGAAACCATGTGTAAATATTATCGTGTCACTATATCGTGCCATTAGAAAGTTAAACAAGAAATGGTACATTTTGAAGTATGATACTCCGGCGCCATTTTCAATAGCTTTTCTTCCCAGCGTAATTGGACTTCAAACAGAAGTGAAAGTTACCCGCAAATGATATATCCATTGCATGGATTAAGTAATTTTGTATGGTATAACGAAACATATGAGTTAAAAAATAAATCGTGAAGTATTCTTAGTGTTTTTATGAAAAATAGCATGCTCCGTCACAGCGGACAAATATTTCGATACCAGCCTGTGACTTAGTCTTAAACAGAGCAAAATTATTCATACAGTCTAAATCAAGTCATCATGTCTGAGACTAATTTTATGTATGTTTGTCTCAGATCATGTTGAACAACACCTATAACATAATAATTGCATTACATTCCTTCTCTTCTCAATGTATATTCTCTTCTAACTACCGTTACAGTAACTACCCTACAGTGCAATATAGCACATCACAGTAAACCATAGCACAGCATAGTACAGGGCACAGCACAGTACAATACAAGACACAGTAAAGAATAGTACTGGTACAGTACAGTAAATATATACAAATAAAATGTATACAAAATACATATTTTGCATAACCTTCATAAAAATCAAATACTGCTGCTACTAATACTGAACATGAAGTCTAGTATCAGCCCCAATCCCCTCCTAAGTATATATTCTAACTTGTATCAGAGAAACAATGTGGAAAAGGGAGACTTGATGCAAAACTACTCATCGTGATGTTCTGCATAATAAATACTACTGGAAACATTAAAATAGTCATGAGTGCTCCTATTGCTCTTCTATAAAGAAGACTTAAAGGCCCGTAGCCAGGTGAGTTCGGGGGATTCAAACAAATTCCCTCTTGGCCAAAAATTCTTTCAAAATTATGCAGTTTTTCACCATTCTGAGCACTTTTCAAGTGACTTTGGGCCAAAGTTGTCAAATCTGAGCCCCCGCTGGAATTTTATGAATAATGAACCCCTTGGCAAAAGCTGTCTACAGGCCTTCCTCACCAAGACTCTATTTTTTTATTCTGTAGAATAACAGCAATCCTAGTACATGTATTACCTCCAAAAACTGATACAACACTTTACAGATGAATTTCTTCATTCACCTCGATTAGATCATCATACGTACCTGTTTTGCAGGGTAATAGTTATATGAAAAATACCAATTATCTTTTGGGATGAAATCTGGTATCAAATGATGCTCTGGTATAAATGGATGGAATCTCTCTCTACCACTTGAGTCTCTAGAATCTTTGATTTTGACATCTACATTTTCTAAACATTTCCCCATTTCTAGATCCTCCATGCCGCCAGGATCTGAGCGACACACTGACTCGTCAGGCATTGCTTCTTCAACAAATCGTCTCAGAGCCTCCTTGCTTAAAACGTATCCCGCACCACCACTCATGTAACCATTTCTAGTATACGGTCGAAATCGACGACCTAAATATAATGGTTCCTTTGGATTGAACTGTTCGATCATAAAACGTAGATTCTCCACGACAACGTATGTGTCATCGTCAGCTTTCATGAACCAATCAGCATCGTTGAAATGATGCTTATAGACATACTTGAACGCTTCTCTAGTTTTCCCCCAGAGATTATCACGACCTTCTCCAACAGGAAGACCGACTGCTGGAAAGTTTGGATCTAATTGTGAACTCATGAAGACAATTTTATTGCAGCGTTTTCCCCATGTTGCTTTGACGTGCTTAGCTTTGGAGTACAGAGTGGATGGACTGGTCATTATCCAACACAGAACTCTAACCTTCTTAGCCAATAGCTCAGCCTCAACAGCCTCGCCTGAAAAAGAAAACATTTCCATATTGAAACATGTAGAAAAATTCATTTGCTAATATTAACAAACATGTAATTCTAGATAAATAGGATGGAGAAAGTACAGATGGTTTGAACAATATGATAGTCAGTGTTAAGCTCAAATCTTTTTTCAAGTCATGAAAAGTAATATTTGAATGATTATAGCCATTATATATTTTCAAACTTTACACAGGGCCTTATAAACCTAGCTTCTACTTCAGTAAGTCTCCATCTACAACTAATGATGCAACCATTGACCCATTTCCTAATGGACAAAATCTTGAATCCTCTAACACATAAAAGTGCAGTGTCATTATCAATTATCATCTTATTTATCCCAACATGAAAACTAAAATGAACCCCTAAACTTGTGAAGATTGTGAAATTATTGATCTTTGCATAAAATTCTTTGACAAAATGGGCCTATAAAACACTACAAAAAACCTCCTTTCTAATAAAAATTATCATGATATAACCTCTCAAGCAAACTGATATTAGAAAGCTAAAAGTGGTTTGAAAGGTAAAATTCTTCTTTGAACCAAATTATAACGGCGCCATGTTCAGATTTTTGATTGATATTATGATATAAGACTCACTGTGGCAAGTAGATCAGGTATACCTTAATATTAATGGTATTTCTTTTTTATTATCGCCCAGATATAACGACCTAGGAAGGTCTATCAACACTAACCTACTCAAGGAAAATATTGTTATTCGAAATTCAATTTTACTCTGGTAAAAAAATAATTTTATAACTTCCAGCATAAAGTGTAAAACTTAAAAGTAATCAATGTGCACTGCGCTGAAACGCCGATCTTTGAAATTCATTTTTTTATTATTTTTTTTATTTTTCTATTGAAAGTATAATATTTTAATCTCAAACGTACTCAGACAACCAATTTTACTTTTGTCAAACAATTCTCCAAATAACAATTATAGCATTTAAATCACTGATCTTTTTGAATTACGAAAATAGACACAAGTGATATAGTCTGATTCCATCGTGCACCGACAGGATATATTAATAAGTATATTGTATGGCCAGTATATTTGATAAAAACGCTGTAAGTATATTACACGATGATAATGTTTGTTTGCCATATGAAATCTATGAAAGATTCAGTTTAAACGATAGATTTTTACTTGGGAGGAAAAAAGCAAGTATATTCTTGTCTGATACAACCGATGAATATGAAAAACTGACTTTTATCTGTATGTATTGATTGCTATATTTTATGCCACCAGAGTGATATCGTGTTACTTACATTACCTATACCATATATGTATACAGTGCGTCCCAAAAAATGCAACAAAGAAAAACATTGCAAAATCACAAAACCAGTGATGATTACATCAATTTCATTTAGTAAACATATGGAAAAAGTGGCATAAACAGTCGTTGCCTGTCATCTTATGAAAGATTAATCATGAAAGATTACATTCCCTTTCCCATGACCACTATTTCTCTACACACATGCCCCTTCACATGACCACTATTTCTCTACACACATGCCCCTTCACATGACCACTATTTCTCTACACACAGAGTGGACTGGCCTGTGTGTCCATGTCGCACACCTTTATATGAATCATCTGAGGTTCTGGCCGAGAGTAGCAACCTCATTGATGACACTTTGTTAACTGTTGCAATGTCTAAAACTTGGTCCAGAGCAGATTTTGGCACGTTGTGCAAAAGGAATGATTATTCAGTGGTCCGTGGTCTTATATGAATAATTGACATACCATTGGAAAGAGGGGACATGTGGCTTCCTGGTAAACTAAATCAAATTGATGTAATCATCACTGGTTTTGTGATTTTACAATGTATTTGTTTGTTGCGTTTTTATGGGACGCACTGTATTGTTATTGTCTCTTACTTAAAAAAAGTGGACGATATTCGGCGTCCGTCGCTCAGCGTTGTAACAAATTGTTGCTGAAATGTTTGCCTGTTTGATATTGTTCTACTAAATCTGCCCCTTTCTGTAAAACTGAAGAGTTGTTTTATAAACAAATTGTTCAAAAGATGACTTCTTTCGGTCCGAATTTGTATATTAAGCTTACTCAATTGCGTTGGGTTGAAGTATCATAATGCGTTTTGCGTTGTGACAATGTGATTGGTTATGAAATATTTTTGCCTCGTCGCTTTTTCCTTCCTGGCTACGCCACTGTGCTGGTATGGTTTTCTTAGACCTAAAATTTTCATAAAATGCTAAAACAATTTATATTATACAGGTCAGTGTGACTGTATAATTGTGTATGTTATCTTATCATATTTTATTTCAGAACATGTTATTTTAGGGCAGGGATAGAAATCAATCGAAATTCCTCTATTAAAATAGTGTAGTGTCCAAACCAAAATCAATTGGTAGATAAAATATCCCTGACAATTTTAACTATTTCTATGGCAGATATATATTATTAATGACTTCAAGGTTAGGGAAAATTAGTTTGCCATTCCCAAACATTTACCCTGATCACAGCAACCCTGGTATGGTTGACATGATAACAAAAGTGACCATAGTGAAAGAGCAGATATCAATATTCAATATCCCAGAGAGGATAAAAATCATATCTTGAGTAAATCATAGAATGCTCTCTCATTCCATAGTTAAAGTGGTTTGTCATATATCTTAATTTCTAATCAAAATGACCGATTGGCCATTTTGGCTACTAAATCAGAATGAAACTAGAAAAACAGCAACTCCACGGAGTAGCAAATCCCACCGAACAAAACATGTTTTGATAAATAGCGGCCATATAAAATTTGAGCCAAATCCATCCACTGGTATTTGAATTATTGAAGATTATGCTTTTATGAAACATGGTTGCCATTTTGAAATTCAGCATCAGCATATACAATTTAATCCAAATCCATCAACTGGTACTTGAGTTATCAAGGATTACGTCTTTAATGAAAAATGGCGGAGATTTCGATAAAAAGCAGCTACCTTTCTTCTCAAGCAGAGCTCCTTTATCTCTAGGCATCAGTATATAAAAAAAATTTGAAGTAAATCCATCCAATGGTATTTGAGTTATCAAAGATTACCTTTTTATGAAAAATGGCAGCCATTTTGAAATTCAGCTGAAAAATTCACCTTTGAAATTTCTTCTGCAGTAGATCTCCTTTTTCCCTAAACATAAGCATATAAAATAGGAACCAATTTGAGTTATCAATGATTACTTTTTTTAGGAAAAATGGTGGCCATTTTGAAATTCAGTGGCCATCTTGAAAATGTATTTTTGAGCAGTATTTCTTTGTCTCTAAGCATTAGCGTATAGAATTTGAACCAAATCGATCAACTGGTATTTGACTTATCAAAGGTTACGTTCTTTTATGAAAAATGGCGGCCATTTTAAAATTTAGAGGCCATCTTGAAAATCCCTTCTCGAGCAGAGCTCCTATGTCCCCAGGCATCAGCATGTAAACTTTGAACCAAATCCATTCAATGGTACTTGAGTTATCAAAGATAATGTTTTTTTTTACGAAAAATGGCCACCATTTTGATTTTGAAAATGTCTTCTTAAGCAAGGCTCCTTTGTACCCAGGCAACAGCATATAAAATTTGAACCAAATCCATCCACTAGTACTTGAGTTATCAAAGATTATATTTTTTCAGAAAAATGGCCGCCATTTTGAATTTAATTGCCATATTGAAAATTCCTTCTCAAGCAGAGGTCCTACACCCATAAGGCTATCAAATTTGAATGAAATCCGTCAACCGGTATTTGAGTTATTGCCCGCAAACACGAACGGACGGACCAACGGACGGACGGATGGACGGACGGCTTTTCTATATCCCCTCGAACTTCGTTCGGTGGAATAAATATAGCACTTTGACAAAGTGAAATAAAAAACATATTCAAGTGAGTGGTTGTATTTTATGGCAATCCACTGCAGCTGGATGACTGTAACTACAGTTAGCTTCATTCAAGATGGTTGCCGAAATACTTTCGTTTTTGATAAACCTCCAATTTCAGCTAAACTAAGTTGAATCTGGATTCCAAATGTTTCGCCATGTAAATTAATAAAGCTACAATGGTAAATAACCACAAATAAATGCTCAAACAAACGCGAAATTAAAAAGAAAATGGCTTCACTTAGAATGACTATAACTGAGTTAGAATGACTCTGAAGTTGATGATGATGTAATGATGTCGTAGATCATCAACTTCAGTTAGAGTCATTCTAAGTGAAGCCATTTTCTTTAAAATTCTCTAATATTGCGGGTGTTTGGGCATTCATTTGTGGTTGAATACAATCATAGTTTTATTAATTTGCATGGCGAAACTTTTGGAAACAAGATTCAACTTAGTTTAGCTGAAATCGGAGGTGTATCAAAAACGAAAGAATCCAAGAAACCATCTTGAATGAATCTAACTGCAATTAGAGTCATCCAGCTCAGTGCTAACACAAGACTTCATGTTATAACAATAAAATCTATATAAAAGATGAAACACTGTAAGGGATAAGATTAGATTGGAGTGTGAAGATTAGAGAATATTTATATCAATATTAATCTATAGCTTATTATCTATATAAAGCTAAGGGCTTGTCAAGTAGGGATATTGTATTCTGTTACTGACAACAAACATAATTAGATATTAAGTTTCCAATTAGTGTGCTTATTCTAGCTTCCTATTCCAAACCCACATTCTAGGACTAGTTACATCTTTCATTCTTTCAAATTAGCAATATGGAAAGGATCTAGAAAAGAACTCATCAGTCTGTCATATAAGATTGTGATTCTCTCACGGTAGCACTATACTGGAGAGTGCAGTTCAAAAAAGTAGGGCAGATTGCACCTTCTATAACCCTATGCAGATGGTACTATATAGAAAATGCTTGGTGCGGATTTAATGGTCATTTTCAATTATAATTTTTGATATTTTAAAAACTAAGCCTTAATGGGTTTTCAGTTATATTCATATATGTGTAGATGATACCTAATAAAAAGGAAAGAGTGTAAATACATGTAGTTGGTACT